AGCTCATACAGGTCGCAGGTTCCCCACATATGCGTCCATCAAAGGATATATTTGACCTTTATAAAATAAAACTCACCCATTATTAATATCAACAAAAGTGTGGACTAAACAGAATTTAATAAAAAATGCACCTAATAAATTCTTTTTTCTCATAATCCACAATAATGTATCATGCTTAAAATCGCAACCTTTTAACATCCAAAGCACCTGATTTTTCAGAAAGAGCATAAAAATTTTAAAAACACAAGTTCTTGGAAAAGATAAAATGTAGTGGAAAACTAATTATTGCAATCACTGAATTTGTCAGCACCATGTTTAAGTAACATTACACATTCGTTCCTTCAATATGGTGCTGACGAATTATTATTAAAGTTATTGATTATTAAAGTTTAAAATTTGTTTTTGGGATTTTCAAAAATGTTCCGGGGGGGGGGAGGGGGAGAAGGGGAGAGATAAGGCACCAAGGTAGAAAATTTGCATTTTGCATCTCAGTCACACAAGAAAAAAAAAGAAACCTACCCCCATTTGATGCAACTCAGACTCCTCTTTTCACGACAAGGTTACTGGGCTAATTAATATATATATACATATATATAGCTATTATTATATACATCAAAAAACAATAATTTTTGTTTTTTTTTAATCCAAATCTAGTGAAATTATTAACAATAACATTACAAACATGAAACTATTTAGATCCCAAACAAATATCAAGAATATCATAAATATCAAGTACGGCCAGCCAAAAATACCTCGTAGCGGATATACATACCAGTTCTGAGATTTCAAAACTTAGATTTAGTCAATAGAAAAAAAAAAAATGGGAAATGAAAAAATTATATTTAGAAACTAAATACAGATATGTGGTGAAGATTTTATGAGTTTTTTAGTCCAAAGAAAGATATTCTTAAATGGCAGTGTTAAAGTTTCATTAGTAGGAGCAAACAGAGCAACACAATCAAAATTCAAGTTCTAAAAAAACCTTAGATGAAACTTAAAGAAATCCTGAGTAAGGAGAAAGTTATGAATTAGAAAGATAACTAAAGAATGTATAGTAGGAAAATAATGAGTAATTTTTTAAAAAATATTTGTTTGTAACATATTTGTAGAACTGAAGTGAGTTCGTAGTGAAACTCCTAGCTGAACACACCTCCCTGAAGAAGACCTGCAAAGTCGGGTCGAAACGTTGCCTTTTGATAAAATAGTTTTGCTACTATTTAGCCTATTTATGACGACCACCCGGACCATCTCCTTCCTTTATATTTATTTTCTTTTTGTGAATAAAAATTTAATGTGACTTTTTAATTCAATAAATATCATTCTAGCATATTTTAATTCTCTTATAAAAGCTCTCATTTTTTAACCTTAAATACTACATCTCATTCCTATGATTCACCAAATTTCTTTCTGTGTAAAAAGGTGGTAGGAACATTAAAATAAATCAATTATAATTAAAATTAAATGAAATTCCATCACACAATTAATTCAAACAACTGTTTGAAATTGCTATTTAACTCGAATAAATTAGAAATATTTATACTGCATATGAAAAGAATTACTTTAATTATTGATTATAATGGGCATAATAATAATAAGCCTATTATTATTATTGCTAATAATGAATAGGATTTGTCTAATGTTACTTATTAAAAAACTATTATAACTTACTATAATAAAATGCTCAATGGGAATCTGGACTTTCTAAATAACGTAGATGCACTAGGAAGGAATAGAAGCTTCAGGGGTGACTAAGAATTTTCCTAAATAATATCTTATTTGTTATAAGAAGGGGCAAGTTCCTCAGCTCTGAGTTTCAAAACTTGTCCAAGATGGAGCATGTATGATGCCAGTTATTCGAAAAGGTAAAACTGGACACCGCTAGTTGCAATTTTCATTATGTTGTGGAATTTCCTATTGAGAATGCTTTCTATTTTCCAAGTATAATTTTAGAGAACACAAATACTTTGTATGTCATTGATTTTTACTGTATTTCAACAACAGATTTGATTATTAAGTAAAATAGTCCAACATAAAATTTCTTGTACATCTTTCTAAATTTTGATTTTTTTTTTTTTTTTTAAATTAGAGTATATTTATGGAAAAGCCTAATCTCCAATGAAACAGAAAAGAAAAAAACCCACATTCTCTCCATTCAAAAGCCTCGCTGATGACTAAATTGCTTTGCTTATATTAGGAGGACCAGAAAATAATCGTTTTCTTACATTAAATTCAAATACATAAATTTCACAGCAGTTTTTATTTTTAATCATTGACAGAATCAACAATTATCAACAATCTTTTGCCATCTAGTGTGCAAATTTTCAATGCAGGATCAATAAAAATTGATTGGTTTTTGATCAAAATGTATGGAGATGGCATTTTGGACATCATTCATATTTGCAAATCTTTTCCCATTTAGAAAGTGTTGAAAAGATCCGAAAAGATGGAAATCCGATGGTGCAACAACGAGCGAGTTTGGTGAATGAGGCAGTACTTTTCACCCTCAACTCTTTAATTTTTCCAGAGTTCTTAAGCAGTGCAATCTAATATTTTCGTTTTGCAGAATAACGCCTTTTCTGTTGACAATCACTGGCCACTTTTCAATTAAAGTTGATTTACAGGATCCAGTTGTTCACAATAAAGGTCTACATTCACAGTCTGTCCAGTTTTCAACACTTCAAAATGAGCATTGACAAGAATACCCCACAAAATACACGAAAAAGGCCTGGGGGTGCAAAGCTGGTTTAGCAGTACTTCGTGGCGATTCTTTTGGAGAGAGCCACTGCCTTTTGCATTTTAGATTATCATACAGGATCCATTTTTCATCTCCGGGCATCAAACGATCAAAAAACGTTTCTGTATTGTGGTGCTGAAGCAATAAGTTGCATATGGTGGTTTCCCTAACTGCTAAAAATGCTGATGGATGGTTGAACAAGGTTGGTTAAGACTGTTTAACAATTCCTCGATTTTCTTCGACTTTCACCCTTAACCCGTCCTTGTTTAACATTGTTAGTCTTCCAGATTGATACGAGTCGGAAAAAATCAAAATTACTGGATTTGAACTATAAAAACAACCTTTGACATTTACGAAAGTCTAATGCATTTGGATAAATATTGCAAATTTTTTGGTAGCAACTGTTGCGTTACTACTCTTGTGAAACTTAAAAAGCATGCAGTGCCAGATATGTACCTCATCTGGTATTTAGCTGGCCATTTCAATAAAAATTGCAATAAAAAAATTTTAATTTGATTATTAGTAACTAAAGAAGTAACTATAGCCTTAGAATGTCCTTCCCACGACATAAATGTACACAGTGAGCTGCCAAATAGCAATCAAACAGTGACATGCTCAGAAACAATATCAAGTTCCGGTCCCCCTAATCCTATAACAGGAGCCAATTATAGCATTATGCATGATTAGAAGTCAAAAAGGGTACTTAGAACAAGACTGGAGTGGTTAATGACGAATGAAGAGATTGAATTGTTTTACAGTTGCGCAGTGTTTGGAGCTAAGTTACCTTTGGGTATCAGATAAAGAAGCGACACAGACGATCCTCCGCGTCTCCTTAGCATTGCCGTGTGTTAGAGGAGGGCTTAATTCATTCAAATCATGATTGCACTATTTTATTTTTAGAATGTAAATAATGAAGAAAAAATATATTAATAATATTTTATATTTTTATAGCCATAGACATTTTTGTCTGCTGTTAAAAAAAATCTGATGGATCTTGATCTATCACTTTAAAAATAAATACTACAATGTAATTATTTAATTGAATAAATGATAATAATATGTACTTATACTTATTAAGAAGAAACATGAAACAAATTAAATATGACTAATAGAACATTTTAACTGAGGCTGTGGTGGAAGAGTGTGACGACTAAACAAAGACCTCAAAATCTCTGTTTTTTTTTTTAATACCCCCTAACTCGCCATTAATGAAATATTTATGAAATCACAAAAACCTATTCCAACCAGAGAAAGAAGTTCGAAGTTTATTCCACGGTCCACCATGAAATAAATTTTATCTAAGCCAAATTTGAACCAGCCTCGCTAGACTCGAGAATGTTAAAGTTTACGCATTAACACGGTTGGCCATCATGACCTCCAACATCCTCAAATCAAAAGTGGTGTCAGTTGAAATCCCTCTAGATAGGATCGACTTTTATAACATGATGGATCAACATAATAAATATTGATCTTCTCTATTTGGCAAAAATAGATAGTTAGCCAAAAGGATATCCTGTCCTTTCTGCATTAGAGAGTATATAAAATAGTTAAACACAATAGACAACATATTTCAACAAGAAATTCATTAGGTTATACAGAACACCAAATCACAATAAAGAAACTGGAAGATATATGTACAACTATTTATCAAAAGTAATTCATAAAATAGTCAATAAATTGAAAAAGAATGCTTTGACAAGAGTATCAATGATTTTAAAATTGCATCAATTTTAAATATCATCATAAATACCAATATCATCAATTTTAAATAACAATATCATCATTAGTAATTAAATAAATTCCTAGAATTAAAAGGATTCCCAAGTGAAATACATTTGAGGTTGAAGTGGATTAGGTCAGTTAATGAGATTCAAGGAAGGATTAAAAAGTTCTATTATATTTTATACAAATATAATAAACACAATTTTTTTTTAAATTTGGATAAATTAAATAAATTTGGAAATGATTTAACTCATAAAAATTAATATGAAAATAACCTCAATTGCATATTTATTTTGAACAGTTAATCCATGAGACTATGAGACTAAATTTACCCTCAAAATAAAATTCCAGAAGAAATATTAGAATAATGGTTATAAGAAATTAATTTAAAATTTGGCATACTAATCAATAAATAAGAAGTTAAAAAAGATTACTTTACTTGGTTGTGATGCCTGACATTATCATTAGAAGTACATAAATATAATTTCCAATAAATGTAATATGATAATTTCATGCATTACTCACCCTATCACATACCCTCCTCCTAAAATTGGTAATTGAAGGATATACATACCTGGAAAAAAACAAAACAAATTAAACTAAAGAAATATTAAAATACAAATATATACTATTTAAGTACATCAGACAATTACTGATTAGATATTTTTAAAAAGATCTATACAGATGTGCTAAATGAAGAAAAATAAAAAACATAACATAATTTTATATTTGCTCACCTGTTCAAATCCTCCGAGGAGATCAGTAGTATCCATCGTAGAGCTGACTGGAATGGTATGAAGTTTCTTGCCAGTTAAATGTGCAAGGGCGTGTACAAGACTTGTCTTTCCACTTCCACTTTTTCCAACCTTAAAATTGAAATAAATTTATTATCTTAAAAAATTCTTAACTAATGTATCCTGGATCATGAGGACATTTCCCTTAAAGATTACTGTATAGAATAATGTGGAAAGTGATATGAAAAAAGAATTGAACAAATTATAACAGTCTTAAAGAATTAAATAATAATAAACTGATGATGGCAAGCAAATGCTTTGAAACATTAACTAGCAATGCAAAATACCACATGATTTGGTAGATTTGCCTCTTTTAATAAATGCTGAGCAGCAGATTTTAAATTTTTTTTTTTTTTAATTTTAATAGCAAATAAATATAAATTAATGTTTTCTAGATTTATTTATTATGATACTCATATAAACAGCAAATTAGTCATACTCACTATAATAGCCATCCAACCCATCTTGACACATAAGGCCAAAGATTTCAGAGCTCTCTGCTGCGTACGCAGAATAAGAAGATCATCTTTTCCATTAAATGAGTCATAATAATCTTCACCAGTATCTCGTGGAATAATAACATCTCCTAAGATAAGCTTTTTTGGAGACAATAGTAGAGGAGAAAATGGGTTTTTAATAGGAAATTTTTCACCAAAAAGTTCCGAATACATATTTAAGATCTATAAAAAAAAAAAAAAAAAAAATAGTTAGATTAATCAGTTTTAGAACAAAATCGAGATAATAGAAAAGAAAACATACTGACCACTTTTCTATCAAGTTCTGCTGGCATCCTTGAGGCATAAATAGTTTCTACTGCCACTCCTGGATCATAGTTACCAGATAAAGTTTCTCCCCAGCGGATCAGATCGCGCAGGTTAAATTCCCAGGTCCCAGGACTTGCCCAGGATTTATTTGAAGAAACATGACAATGAAACTCAACCAACTGCTTAATGTTTAACTCACAGTTTGGAAAATGCAATGCCATTAAATTTTCCAAATCAGTTTTGTTAAAAGGCTCAAAGAATACCTGTAACAAAAATTATCTACGTTAAGCAAGAAAAATAAATAATAAAGGCTTAGCAAACCTGAAGGTTCAATGCCGACACCACCAACAAGATAATAATAAGATAAATAATAATAATAATAATAAGGAACAGTTAGGTATTAAGGCAGGTTCAAAAGGTTGCAAAGAACTTCTGATTATCGATTCTTTTATTACTGCTCAAGTTACAAAAAAATCTCGTAATATTACATTGTCTTGGATCGACTACCGTAAAGCCTTCGATTCGGTTCCCCATGATTGGCTTCTGGAAGTGTTGAAAATCTATAAAGTAAACCAGGCAATAATAGATCTATTAGAACAACTGATGAAAATTTGGAGGGTCTCAATCAGCACACCAACTTTGAACGGAATGAATTCCAATGAATACATATCTATAAAGAGAGGTATTTTTCAAGGGGACTCCCTTAGTCCTCTATGGTTTTGTTTGGCGCTTAATCCACTTAGCAAATTATTGGCTGATACAGATAAAGGGTACCTACTTAACTCTGAAATGAAGCTTTCTCATTCATTCTATATGGATGACCTCAAGCTTTACGCTAGGAATGAAGACGAAATGGAAGCTCTTCTGAAGACAGTAAGAACGTTCAGTAATGATATAAAAATGGATCTAGGAATAGATAAATGTGCAATAGTACACGTGAAAAGAGGAAGAGTTATTAAGGGGAGTAATATTGAGATATCGGAAAATGTAATAATGAATCAATTGAGAGAATCTGATTCTTACAAGTACCTTGGAGTACACCAACTTCTGAAATTCAATGCTAATTCAAAGAAAAACTTTGAGGAAGAATTTAAATACCGTGTTAAATTAGTACTTAAATCACATTTAAGTGGAAGAAATTTGATACGGGCATTGAATACCTGGGCAATACCTGCTTTAGCCTACTCATTTGGGGTACTGAAGTGGACTAAAACCGATTTAGAAAGGTTGGATCGTTTTCTTAGAGTACAGATGGTGCTTTCAAGGAAGAGGCATCCAAAGTCATCTGTAGTGAGATTGTATCTTCCTAGGAAGTCGGGAGGGCGTGGTCTAATCAGCCTCTTGAATTTATGCCGAAAGGAAGAAAATAATCTTCGCGACTACATTATAAACCATACTTCCAATATCCTTTCAACTATCGCATCATTAGATATAAATTATACAGCTTTGAATTTACGAAGCCCTGGAATCCCGATTAGTGAAGCAGATGATGGCACTCGATCAGAAATATGGAAAAATAAACCTTTACACGGACGATTTTATCACTCATTAATGGATGTAGGAGTGGAAGCTGAGGCGTCATTGACATGGCTGAAGAGTGGAAGTATCTTTCCGGAAACAGAAGGATTCTTGTTTGCTATTCAAGAACAGGTAATAGCCACAAAAGCATACAGAAAACATATATGTGGAGAGGGCATCGATGACTTATGTCGCTTATGCAAAAAGGCAGTTGAATCAATTCAACATGTAACATCGGGATGCACAATACTTGCGGGTAAGGAATACTTGCAGAGACACAACAATGCAGCTAAGGTAGTGCATCAAGCTATGGCTCAGAAAATGGAACTCGTCGATAAGTATTGTCTGTATTATAAATACCATCCAGAACCAATTAACTCCATGCGCAATGTCAAGGTGTTCTGGGATCAACCGATCCTGACGGATCACACCATCCCCCACAATAGACCAGACATTCTTATAATAGATAAAAGTAAGCAATCTGCGTTTATCATAGAGATTGGAGTTCCTTCTGATGATAACCTACACAAGGTAGTAGCGGAAAAAAAGAGAAAGTACATAGAATTGGCTGAAGAGATCAAACAATTATATCAATTAAAGGAAACCCGAATTCTGCCAATTGTAATCTCGTGCAACGGGCTGATACCGGAAGAAACTGTATCTTCTCTGCGACAACTAGAACTACCATCTCAGACGATCGAAAGAATGCAACAAGCGGTGTTGTTGGGAACAGCAAATATTGTCAGGAAGTTCATGAATATTACATAATTAAGAAAATGTAATTTTTGGCTGACCTAATAGGTCCCCAACTATTACATAATTTAAACACCATTGTATATGTGGAAAATAAAGAGATAATAATAATAATAATATATCTTCTGTTCATTATTCCTAGAATTGGTGTCTTGAGGTTTTATTTGTTATATAAATTAGGCCATTATTCACCAACATTTTATTTATTAGCTATTTTATTACAATGTTTCAACCATCACTAGAGCCATTTTCAAGTCTTATTGAGTCCTCCATTAGATATTCATTATTAATGTTGTATTAATTTTTCAGAGAAAAATTAAATTGTCCAGATATTTAAGAGCTTCCCCTAAAAAAATTCTGGAGGGACTGACTTATAAGCTATATCTAATGGAGGACTCAATAAGACTTGAAAGATGAATAATGGCATAAATTATATAACAAATAAAATAATAATATAATAATCAAAATCATTATTATCTCATATATATATATATATATATATATATATATATATATATATATATATAAAATTTTATTGTTAACAAAATATAATTTATTTAAATATTTCAAGAAGTCCAATAATTTATAAAATATATCAATAAAAATATATAAACTATTCAGTATAAGGAACAGAATCCTCTGAAGAATGATAAACTAATCAAATTATATTAAAATATTTTAAATAAAAGTATCTTAACAATTAATTTATTAAGATATATGGACACAACATGAGTAATATAATCATTACTACATACATGTAATAAACCATTGCTTTCAGTTTAACATAAGTAATTCAAGATAAGATATAATATAAAATTTTATGGAATGTTGAGAAAAATAAATGTTATGACTGTTACACAAACATACCTTTGCAAATCTATTTAAAAATGACTGAGGGAGACCCTTCCTTGCACCACCTTCTCTTTGTGGATTCTGACACGCAAACAGTTTTGTGTTTCCGGCCTTCACGTTAAATGTTCGACCGAGTTCAGGTATGTATATTTCACCACGGTGGTCCAAAACACTGTTCAATCCTTCAACAACTGATTGTGAGGCTAAGTTCAACTAAGAAACATTTAAAAAAATACATTACTCATCAGGAAGCAAACAAACATATTTTTGAAAAATGAAAAAAATGAATAAACCTCAAACAATTCATTTAGTGTATAAAATTAAGCTAACCTCATCAAGAAGAATCCAATGGCCATTTTTAAGAGCACTAAGAAAGGGACCATCACGCCAAGCAAATGTCCCTGCTTCAGCACCCTCTACAGGCAAATCAGCACCAAACAGGTCAGAAATGTCTGTTTGTTCTGAAAGGTTTATCCTCGTTACCTGATATAAGAAAAAAAAAAAACATTTTACTTAAGAAAAATCTACTTGTATGTCAACACTAGACATAAACTACTGATTTATATTGTTTGTTGACAAACCATTTTAGAACAATGAAAGTGTAGTATTCTAGAGTAATTCTTTAACATTGATAATTTATCAAAATTTCCAAACTTTATGTATAACTTTTACACTACCAATTATAGAATCTATAAAAAAAAATTAATTAATACAAACTTGATATCCGGTGAGTTTAGCAATAAGAAGCACTAAGGATGTCTTTCCAACACCAGGACTTCCTTCCAAAAGAACTGCCCTTGACGAAACGTGTAAAGCTCGCATCAATCTCAAGAGATTCAGAAGAACAGTAGGGGCTTGGTAAAGAGTCTGTTGTTTAGTATACATGGGTTTAGCTGTAACAATAAAATTGTTACATTAAAAAGAATAATAAAACATCCTATTTAACTTTAAAGTAATGAAAATGGACTTGCCTTTCTTTATATAGAAGGGATGTACACCAAATCTATCTGGACGATCTACTACATTACCGAAAACAAGACTAGGTGTGAATATTAAATTTACTGAGGAATCACCTTGGGCTGCATTGGCCTGACTTAGGAGAAACTCTAGACATGAATTTTTGAAATGTTCCAATGCACGATAGCTAAAATAAATATACTTACAATAATATAAAATTTAGGAATACAGAATATAGAAAAAAAAATTAAATGGACAACAAAAGAAGTAGTACACTTTGAAAAAAACATTTAATTGTCATATCATACTTCTGACACTAATGTTACATCTCGGATTTTTTTCCTTGATTTTCTTTTTTTAAAATCTAGCTGGTCGAAATTTCAAAACAATTTATTCATCTTCATGATCATCTATCTTTTTACATATCCAGGGATATTTTAAGAAATAAAATACAAAAAAAAAAAATGTTTACTAATGATTTAACGAATGTAAAAAAATGCAAAAAGACAGATTAAGTTCAAGAGATTGTTTTGAAAAGTTGACCAGTTATATTTTTAATATAAGAAATTAGATGTAACAATTATATATAAAATATGATACAAAATTTTAGCTATTCTATCAGTTTAATGAAGTACATTTAAATTGTTTAATAAGTTTAAAGTTGTAGGCTATCTTTCTTTTTATTTGCTAAAAACTACAAGCAGTTATTATTTATTACAATTCAAATAATTGAACATTATACTTCTCAGTAGATGTCTGTGCAGCTCCAACTCCGTCAATGAATGTAAGGAAAGCTCCATAAATATATGCACTGGCTGTGTCTATGCCATTTTTATTCAAGGGTCCTTCAGTTTTATTTATAAAATCTACCCATAATAAGATATCCCTAATGCTAACAGGAACTCTATAAAAAAAAAAAAAAAAAAAAAATTAAATAATTAAAACAGTAAATGTTAACAGTTAACATTATATACATAGGTTCCTTTAGCATTATATATATATATATAATGCTAAAGGAACCTAGACAGAATAAAAAGATGCCTTCTAAAAAAAAGAAATTCAATATCTTTTCATTTCCTAATCCAGGAGTTCCCAATCTTTTCCTATCTGAGGGCACATTTTAAGTTCATAGTCAAACAGAGGGATTTTTATATTGTTCATGGTCAAACATCACTTTGTGTTTGTTTTTCCTAGATTTTTCATTGTTTGATATTTATAATCAACTCAACGCCATCCGCTCTCCTTAAAATAACCTATGATGTCCAAAACTCCATTAAACACCAAATCCTTAATATCCTTATCCTTCTCAATTTTTCCAAAGCGTTTAACACAGTTGACCATAACATCCTCCTTACTAAATTGCACAACCGTCCTCTAGCCGGCAGTGCCTTGCGTTGGTTCAAATTCTTCCTTTCAAATCAATCTTAGTATGTAGTAGTCCCTGGTCAATCCCCATCTAAGACCCTTCCCCTCTCCTGTGATGTCCCTCAAGGTTTCTCTCTATCTCCTACTCTGTTTGCTTTTTACATTATTGACCTTCTCCTCATGATCCATCACTCCCAATACCATTCTATACAGATGATTTCCAAATATATCTGTACTCCCAGCCCTCCGACCTATTATTGGCCACAGAAAAACTTCAACAAGACTTGGATAGGATTTGTGACTGAGCAAGAGCTAACAAGTTAAAGTTGAATGTGGAAAAGACAAAGGCAACCTTAATAGGCTCCAATCATCTCCTTAAAACTGTTCCTAATATTCCAACTCCCATTTTAATATTTTAAACTTCCATCAAAAACCTTGGAAAAACCTTTGATCAAATGCTTTCCTGGAAAAACCATGTATCCAATATCTCCAGTTGTAATATTTCCACCTTAGAACGTCTAAATTACTTCCGTCACCAATTTCCCCCCTCAAACCCGTAGGCTCCTAGTCACTTCCTTAATTTTTCTCCGTTTTGACTATTGCTGTATGGTATATGAGGGCGTCTCTGGGGATTTTGAAGCAAAATTAAAATGTTTGATAAATTGATGTGTACGATTCATCTTCGGGATCCCAAGGTACGCCTGTGTTCCCGTTTTTATGCAGAATTGAAGTGGCTTTATCCTTTCTCCCATCGAAAATATTTCCTGGCATCCTTCCTCTTTGAAGTCATCCAATCCCACTGTCCTTCTAACATCTCCGACCTCCTTCAATACAAATCCTCTGCCCGTTTCCGCAATACTCGTTCCTAGTTTTCTGATTTATACATAAGGGCCCACCGAATCGCTGTTTTCGACAGATCGTTCATATCCGATGCTCATCCCAATGGAACTCCATCCCTTCCCACATCCATCAATTCAATACCCTTCCAATCTATAAACCCTGCCAGTTCAATCATTTCTTATCCATCAAGTCTCCATAAAATTATACATTGATTCTGCTGTAAATATGTATATAAATTATAAGATCATTCTTCATTATGTTCACTTCATGTTTTTATCAATTTTTTATTTTTTATTATTAACTGATTAATGCTAGAAAATAACTTATATATATATATTTTTTTTTATTATTATGACTATTTAATTACTCTGTATTTTTTTTTATTTATCTCTGAGGCTCCTTATCCCAAATTTCTGTCTTTCTGTATTATTCTAAAGGGCTCGTCCCACAATAAATAAAGTATTATTATTATAAAAAATAATAATTTTGCTTATATTCTTGTATTAGATAAATAATTAATTAATAATGCATTAAAAAGTATTTAAAATTTAAAAGTTCTATATAAGGAATATAAAATCTAAAGATAAGATATTTGTAATATCATTTTATTGGTTGATTCTCTATAATTTGCAGAAAATTATTATGAGATGATAATCTGAAACAATAAAATAAGTGGCGAGCATAAAATCATCTAACTGGTGATTAGATACATTGAATGAAAAATGATCAACTTTGTAAATTAGTATTCATTGTAGAAAAAAAAATGGAGAAAAATTATGAAGATTGACTGGAAAATATCATTAAAAAAATATTATATCAATCAGGACTATTTTTTTTTTTAAATACAGATGATTAGATTGTGATTATATTACCAATTAATTACTTATTAGATATTTTATTTTTTATACACTTGTTGAACATCGAATATGCGGAATGCAGTTACCAGCTGCCCTTGGAAATCACTGTTACAGACTAAGATAGCCTCGCACAATGTTGGTCATGGGCACAATGGTACCCAGGGGCATTGGGTTGGGAATTTCTCTCTTAATATATTAATTTTTTCACAAAACTGAGAATTACCTTTTTCCAAATTCAGTGTTTCCAAACCAATCTATGAACTGCACAATGGCTTTTCCAATTCCAGAAGTATTTCCATCTTGAGAGTCTCCAAAAACTATTTCAGAACGTAAATTATGCTCAACAATATTTACAATATCATCAGAGTTCGTAGCACCTTCGCACCATATTTCGGTTAACCTATTTCGCAATGCTGGAGAAAGCTGAAATATACAAATTCATACATTACGTAATGATTCTAAATCAATAGATATATTTAACAATTCCTAAAAATAATTAACTATTCCACTATTTTGAATAATTGTGGTTAAATGTAAGAAAAAATTAAATTTATAGGCAGCTATTCATAATTCAGCAGTTGAAAATTATCAATTCATGTCAAGAAAATAAACATTTGAAGAAAAAAAAAATTTTAAGAAAAAAAACCTAATTCTGTTTTGGTCAATAATTTGTTAAGAAGAGCTCTCCTGTATAAGGAACAAGAAGAAAAAATTTAAAACTTAAAAAAAAATTACATTATATTACAAGCATCATAATTAAGTAACAAATACTTACATGTAATATAATATGCATTTAATGATGGACATATACAGTAGACTCCTGCTCAACCAGCTCTTTAGACTAACCAGCGGTCGTGGTAAAAAAAAAAATTGTTTAACATTTTCATTACTTTGTGAGATTCTGAAGCACAGGTAATAAAATTAATTTTTGTTGTGTCACGGCTCGTAGAATTTTGAAATGTAGACAAAAGGTTTTTTTTTTATTTATTTTTTTTACAATTGATCTTACCTCAATAAAACAAATATATTCAAAGTAAAATTGATTCTTTAACAAAATCCTTATCCTTCATTTATTCATAGAATAAATAAATAAAATTCATAGAAAAATAAAAAAGAAATAGAAATGAAGAAGAAATACTGTGCAATTACCGATGCAGTTCTGTTTAGTACTGTAATTACGTATAATACCGATGTTAAACATGATACATTTTCTTGGAAAGGTTTAGTTCAAGGTGTTTGTTTGTGCATTACTTTTTTTTTCAGCTGTTGTTACACCTTTCTTTTAATTAACTAGTGACAAAATTAGTGAAAAAAATAAACAAATTGTTGTGTAGTTGAAAGATAAAATTTTTATCATTTTACTCAATATAGAAATTAAAATAATACTAGATTTTTTTTTTATTTTATACCCTCCGTATTAACCGGCTTTCCCACTTAACCAGTGATGTCTTGTTCCCGACGAGGCGGATAAGCGGGAATCTACTGTAAGTTCATTACATCAATTTTTCATGTACTTTAATTTAATTAGATATACATACAATTTAATGCTAAAGTTAAATTTTCCAATATATTTAAAATCATTCTCATTATATTTCATTGTTATTAATAAAGTGCTTTAGCATTAATTAGTTATTTTCCATCAGATAACGTACCTTAAACTTTTATTTCTGTTATTCTACTAGAATTAGAATTCTGAGTGCGGTATAACAGATAAAAATCTATCAAACATCAATGAAACAATTTATTTCAATTTTACAATTTTCATAAATTGCTAATTATGGCATATTTGATGAGTTACAGGTTATAAGTCATAATTCAAGAGTATTATTACTTATGGTTTACCTAAAAGCACTAGTATAGTTTATTTATTTTTTATTCTTTACTAATATATATGCGATTAAATTAACAGAAAACATCTCCAAACAAATTAAATCAGTCATGTAAAAAGCAAACTGTGTATGGCTAAGGAAGGCATACAAGTTCTTTTCAACATCCTTTAAGGTAAAACTATATAGTACAATGGGATATTTAAAAAATATACTACAACACACCTCTTTTTTACCAAAATCTCCACCCGGATTCATAGTACCAATAAAATGAAATTCAGATTTAGCTGTAATTTCAACTTCTTCACTTGTTCCTTTTTCACTAACTAGCAATTTCCTCTCAGGTTCTAAAAGAAATACATTTTTAATAAATATTGTTATAGAAAATTTTCAAACTAAATCAAAAAATATCTGTTAGTCCTCAGCTGAGGAAAATAAGCAAACTTTTAATAATATTACCTAATAATGAATTGAGTCTCTCTAAAACACTATCGTCGGCCAAGGATATTTCATCTGCCAAGAACAATTGTCCTCCTTTCATTGCCAAAATGAGAGGACCATCAACCCACTCAAACAGCTTCATGCTGTTTTCAGACTATTGATAAGCAAATTGCACAATTACTAAATGTAGGTATTAGGATAATATATAGCTCATCAAATTCCAATTACAAGAATTTATATATAAATAAAATCTATTGATACCTTTTCTCTGACTGGTCGTAATCCTCCCAAAAAATCCGAACTTTCTGAATGTTGATGGCAGTTAACAGAATAAAGTGACTGATTGTTTAATGCAGCTAACAGTTGGCAAATAGTCGTTTTGCCACACCCTGTTTCACCGACTAACAGTAATGGTTCTTGAAATTCTAAAGCTTTAGCTGAAAAAATAAAATTTAGTATAAAAAAATAAAAAAAATGTTTAAGGCAGAAGGTGGTACATTAGATAATATGATATTTTTATTTATTTATATTTTATGCAATTTGCACCTGCGCGGCTGCGCATCTAGCGAATTTGTTGTGTTTGTACTGTCTTGGTCTATGTATAGATAATTTACCTACACAACTTTAATTTAAAAGTAAAAAGATTAAATATTTAATTGCATATAACAATTGCTTATGTAAAGAGAACTTCAATATAATTTAATTATTGAAATAAACCTCATAAACCTAAGATAGAACTAACCTGCTAAGACAGCCAAAACTCGAAGGTTGAATGTCCATACTAAATGTTCAAAACCTTTAGGTAAAGGAGGAGCAACAATTTTTTCAAGAATGTGTTTAGTTACAAGTGAAGTTTCTTCGTTCACTACAAAATAAATACACTATTATATAGCTGTTTGGAACAAATAATATTTTTAATACCATTCATTTGAAAGTATTACTTTTAATGTAATTCAAGTCAACAAGCTTATAGATTACAGTGAATCATAAAAATTACTCACATGTAAACAGTTTATTTAGATCAATGACACGCTTAAACCTTGTTTCAATAACATTTTTTATGATATCTCGTTCCTCTTGTTTCCGAACTCGACCAGCAAGGATCAAATATCCTGTAATAAAATAATTTGTTGATGCTTCTTTTATGTTTAGATTTTAGGCACAAGAATTTAAAGAGTAAATATTACCTTCAAATGCAACATGCTGATCCCAATCATAATAACTTAAATGGTCCATACTGCTGGCACGTCGGTAACGTTCACCCCACCTGAACAAGTCCCTTAAGGTGATAAAGCCTTGCTTACCAGCAAACGCTGCACTACCTTTTCTTCTCAACTAAGAAATTATTATTGGTATTTTAAATAAAAATGAAACTTATATAAAAAAGGAGAAAAGAGAGAAGGAATATTTCTAACATTAAAACAATTAAAATATACAGCAGTAATTCGTAGTATGATGCTCAGAATAAATGAGTGAAAAAAATGAAAATTTATTATTAAAAGTTTGATGTAACAGGAACCTAGATCAGAAGAAGAATAATATGTCTTCCTGTACGGTTGATTGTTATAGTCAAGGCATTGAACCTGTTGGTTATCAACATCATAATCAAGATTATATATAATTATATCTGATGGTTATGAATAATAGAAATTAAAAGGATGTAAAATGCACTTTAAGTTTAAAGATATTTAAAATTATTAAGTGAGAAGTTCAGATATCTTCTTCAGAGAGAAAACATATAACTCTACTCAAGATTTTTCTATCATTTCCCAAAGCAATTGAAATATTTGCTGGAGTTCTCCTTTCATTTAATTCTCTGGTGTAAAAGGCACAACTTTCAAAGATATGGACCATTCTCATTCTCTATCCACACTTCCGATAAATGGGCAGTTTTCTTTTGTAATTAAGTGAATGTGTGTAAGCCCGGTATGTCCTATTCTTAGTCGCATAAGGACAACTTTTCCTCTGATTTTATTGCGAATGGCTTCACTTTGTTTTTTGAGACCTTTAGTGTATTTGGAAGGCTGGAAGGTCCCATAGTGTCTGCCAATCTTGGTATATGGCCTCTTTCAGCGTTGCGCCAGTTCAGATGCAGTTAAGAAACTTTTACTACATCCTGGAAGGGTAAGAGCTCCTTTTGCTGCTCTATCAGCCATTTCATTCCCAACAATGCCTACATGTCTGAGAGACCATAAAAAATGTACTAATGTTCCAATGTTACTTAGCTCCTGTATGGTATACTTATATTTCTGTAAACACTCTTATGGGAAACCATATTTTTTTAGTTACATTTTTCAATTTAAGACATGGGTATGGGCAGCTTAGTGAGTAAATACTGTTCTCTTATTGTCTTTAATAAAACCATTTAGTCCAGCTGTGGTAAATAATTATTTATTCTGTTATATCAGGCACCCTAGATCTGGCAATCTCCTATAAAGTGGTTACTCATAATTGTAAAAAAACCTGAAGGTTGAGCCTGATTCCAAACAAATCACCTTCTATAATAACTGTAACCCTATAAATAGTACTTCTTTACAATGTACAGGAACCCAAGACCCTATTGTGGGTTTTTTTTTATTTGATTTTTTTTCACAATTATTTCTTATTTTTCCTTAGAGCAAAGGTAAAATTAGTTTTTTAAGACATAATTTTTTTCAATATACTAATTTTCAAATATTACTTGATTTTTCAACTTAATAAAAAGATATGCATACTTGTAAATCAGTCATGACCCCAACCAATTTTTTACAATATGACAGTGGCATCTGACATCTTAAATGTAAAATTTCTTCTAATTCAGCAGACGGTATGACATCAAAATGCAGCTCCACGAAACGATTTCTGAAGGCTCTTGAAAGTACCTAAAAAAAAAAAATCAAATAAACATACACACTACAATTAATTTAACTTAGATAAAATTCAGTTCAATTGTATTTGGCAGAAAAAGATAAATTTTTCGTTTTGAAACTCTTTACAATAGCTGATATATCCCTTTTACAAATCTCATTAAATAAATAAGATGTTTTCATGAAGTAAAATAAAAACTAAAAATTAATTCTTGCCAGTTAATCAAAAGAAATTAATGCAATACAGATTTTTAAAATATTGTTTATAGATTATTCATCAAATCCCCTTTCATAGGCATAATTATTGATTTAAAAAAAGAAACAAAGTAAATAGTAAAATTTAGCAAATTTTCATTCGCCTAGTTTATATTATACCTAAAATTCAACTGATTTGTTAAAATGAAAATAGTTACTTACCTTTCTACCACCATATGTTCCAGGAGGATTTTGTGTGGCAAATATTCTAAAATCAGGATGAGCCTTAATAGTAACACTAGTTTCCGGAATGAATAGCTCCCTATTATCATCTAAAACCCTGTTCAAAGCTTCTAAAACCTCACTTGGAGCCAAATTGAGTTCGTCCAAAACAACCCAATCTCCGTTTCGCATGGCTTGGGCCAGGACACCTTAAATTAAATTTAAATAATGGTCATTTAAAAAAAAAAAAAGTTGTAGATACAAAAGATAAAATTTATGTAAATGATCAATTTTTTTCTTCATTGATTTACATATGAAAAATGGCAATTTTTGGTTTTGCCAGTTTTAGAATTGTTCAGAGAGTATTATGTCTTAGCAAGATATCTATATCTTTACTCAATAAGTAGCTGATACAGACGAGAACTGTCAAGAGTGACTACCTGACAGTTACAGTAAAATTTCTTGACGTTTTCCTATTTAACGATAGTTTTCTCTGACCAATATGTCCGAGTACACAAATATTAAAAATGTATAATTTATAACTAAATTTATTTATTACACATGAAAGAAAATTGACTACAAAATGATTTGAGTAAAAAAAAATCAGTTTTTTAAATAACAAACATAATGCTTTAGAGAAAGCATTTTTTAAGCTTGATTAGGAATTTATATTTTAAAAAACTAAACTTTTAGTTATTAATTTTTATCGCTTTCACAAACTGTAAGAGGACGTAAAAGTTGATACTTGACAAATAAAGCACTGATTTTCTCTGTTATAAAATTAAGTGAGATACGAAGGATTCTAATATTAATGTAGTTCCTCATAAGTAGTTTAGTTTCTTTATTGCTATAAACAGCATAACAATTATCTATATGACACCAACTGTGACATTTCTGGTTAATAAATGTTCTTTTAAAGAGCACCACGGGTTGAGCAAATGAGTGCTTACCAGCCAGATCTTGACCCAGATGTATATATCACAAATAGCAAATGGTACTGATATGTTTTTTCTTTTCAAAGAGCACTGCTTTAAGTCCAGTTTGTTTAAACTTTATTCATTACCCTTGTTTGATTTCAATTTAACGACCAGTGCTGTTATTGACAGTCAAAGGTGGATGAATATAGCGACCGTGATCATTTATAATTAAGTTTACTCCTTCAAGGTCATTACAAACGATATCCACTGTATATTTATTTCTAATTTGAAAAAAAATATTTTCGAACTAAAAACATTCTCTAACTTTAACAATTTTTCCCTGTTTTGAAAATTCCCTGACTTTTCCCATTCTTCCAGGATTTCCAGGACCGTCCCCACCCTGACTGTGGTTTTTACAATATAAACAATATATAAAATTAAGTATAAACTTCATATATATATTCTTCTTAAAACAGAAAAGAACATCAGGTGTTATCTAAAATGATATATGTCATGAGTTCTTGGAAAATAGTCGATCCAAATATTTCAGAAATAAATTGCAATGCTAATATTTTTTTTCGAACATTTTCTATTAACAAAAGCATTTTATGGTCTTGATATTTATAAAGATGCTATACAAGACTAATAAAATAAAAACAAGGGGAATATTCCTGTTTATGAAAAACATACGAGCAAGGAATCCACTAGAATTTTTATACGATAGTCGATTGAATAATATATATAAGATATATATATATAACTATATACAGGTGGAAAATAACCTACATCTGACAGAAGATGACGGCTGGTTGTCAATCTTCTTTTATTTCCTTTCTTTTAAGATCTATTGAAATAACATGAAAATTTACCTTCTCTAAACACCAATCCACCAGATTCAGGATCAACGCCATATGAACCGACATATTCCTGTAGGTCTGTGTGCTGATGGTTATTAATACGGAATACTTTATGCCCTGAGGCTTCAGCCATATTGATGATAAGCGAAGTTTTACCAACTGAAGTTTCACCTTGAATCAGGACTGGATGAGAAGAAAGAGACACAATACGCGCCAGATCACTAAGATTCCTTCTTACTCTTGCAGTGAATATATACTAAACAAAAAAAAAAAAGAAATCAGAAAAATATATTTTTTAGTATTATTAAAACCGACATTTTTAACAAAATACTAACATTTGGGGAAGAAATCAATTTGTTTCTGCCTCGAGCAACCCAATAGCCTTCAAAAGAAACAAATTTTTCCTTACTGCTGGTGGGTGCAGGGATTGGTTGCTTAAGTATACTTTTAATATCTGTTTCATCTGCAACAGTCCTAACACAAACAAATTCTTATTATATTATATGCTACATTAAGTTTTTACTATATCAATTACAAACAAATAAATTACAAACAAAAATTTTATATAAATCTTATTTTTATTATTATTAATATTGTTGACTTAATCCTAATACTTTTTTGGTTCATAATTAACTAACAAACTGTTTTGTTTTGATTTTTTCTCAAAAATCAACTATCAATTATTCATAACGTCAAAATTAATATATAAAAAGATACATATCACTGGTGACTATAAGAATACTAATTACTTACTTAGCAATCATATCTCTCACAATCTTGTACGATGATGCATTTAGCTGCGTCAGAAAGCTTAAACACAAAGCCTCATACAAGGATCTGGCCATTGATCCACACTTATTTTCTGATGCAACAACCAAAGCACGACATAAAGTCCTTAAACTAAACAAATAATGATTAAAAATTAATCAGTTAGCAGACAAATAAAAATATACCATAGGACCAAGATTCATAAATTTATTATTAAGAAATTGTGGCCACAAGGGTTATTTAAACATAAGTGGGTAATGACTATTAGTCCGTAGTACAGACTCCTTTTTATCAAATTATTAACATCTACTTAAAAATTCGTGAATGGCTTCATCGTATCATAACCTACAAAGTTTTTATCTATGAAAATTCACAAATTTGGCGTTTTCTCATTAAATGAGTTCATTTAATGAGGTAGTAATACTCGTAAATACCCATACGCTTTCCACTTGAATCGTAAGATAATTTCATGACAAAATAAAAAAAAAATATTATTTATAAAAATATTGGGCTTTTGGCCTTACCTCGTTTTAACCTAACCCCTAAAAATGTAACGTAGTTATTTTGACATTTTAGGGGTGGAAATCATGCCTAATGGCCCAATATTTTTTTTTTGCCAACTTTATTCTTGATGTTTTTTGTTTTGTTTTTTTTGTCAAATTATCTTACGATCAAAGTGGAAAGCAAATGAGTTTCATGTTCATCAGTTTTTAGTACCTAATTAAATAGACTAAATTTGCCAATCTTCAGATTGAAAATGACCCAATTCTGAGAATTTTCGTAAATAAAACAGTTGTAGGTTCTAATGAGATAAAGTCCTAGGCAGATGTTAGTAATTTGATAAAAAGGGACCTGAACCAAGGACTATATATGTGATCAATTTAAATATAAACATCACATCCCAATTTATCGTTTTTTCAACCTGTTTCTCAAATTTTACTTCTTATTTCTATTTCATAATAACTTCTTACATATTATGAAAAATGCATCAGGTAAGATTACTGGTTTGGAGTCTTTGAATTTTAATGATACTTTCAGGAGTCCTGAGTGATTTGTGAACTACACGATCATTGGGTGTTATGATTGATGATATACTGAATTGACTGATGTTTACAATTAGTTCCACAGTAACTTAAATACCATGATTTGAAATGAGAAACATCATGATAGGTGAAATGAATATATTCACTGAACTGGTAGTCCAAATTAACAACAAAGATCATAATTATCACTATTTTTAAATATTATTATACAAGTGAATTATTACTATCTTTATTAATATAAAAATACCTATAATGGGGACGGTATCCCAATCCATCTGATAATTCTTCAACAGCCTTCTTCCTTACATTCAAATAAAAATGTACTATAGCTTTAACTTTAGCAACAGGATAATCAGGAAGGTAGCAATTGACAACAAGGATTAAATCATTTTCTTCAGTATGTTCAGAAACGAATAGTTCAGTAAACCTTTAGAGGAAAATAATGTAGTTAGTGAGAGTTTTTTTTCTGATTATAGAAAATTGAGTTTATAAAACTAAAAGAAGCACCTATTTCTGATCCCTGAAGGAAGATCTTTTTTGCCAAAATCAGTAGCTGGATTCATCGCAGCCATGATTCTAAAATTTGGATGTCTTGGTATACTTTTCTCATCACCACGCTCTAAAAGAGTTATTTCAGATCCCTCCAAAAGACCTGATAGACATTGCAATGTCTCAGCTGAGGCTAAATTTATCTCATCGAGCAGGACCCAAAAACCTAAATAAGACAGAAATTAAATTAACACAATGTATTGTTAAAACTATAAATAAATAAAGTATGTTGTCATAACAAGAGAAATTAAAACAAGCTCAGCTTCTGTATCTTTTTTATTTTTAATGTTTGTTTTTCATTAAATATAATTTGAAATACATCATAAATTATTTTTATTAAATAATTCTGTTATATGAAAGTAAGATAACCTAGCAGTTACAACACTACATTTCAATGATTCTAGAAGTTTGTTCAAATCCTGGTATGGTACAGAATGATTAATAATCTCTGAACAGAAATGTAGCCTGCTTTAATAATAGTTAAAACTGAGAACAGTAGTTAAAGTAAAATAAACACTTCCCAGGTTCACTCAATCCAATGTGAGTTCATGGCATTAGTCAAATCAGGTGAAGAACATTGACCAATGGTCTCAAAAGAATACCTCCTGTCCCAAATGAGCTACTATAGTCCACTAGTTTTAAGCCTTTTGTGAGCTATTAAAATACTGAATCATTTATTTAAAATGATAACACCTTGAAGCATTAGATAACAGCTTACAGTTAAAAAATTGACTTACATTTTAGCGTATCAACCTTGTGGACTATTTGAACTTTTACAAAGTAGTGAACTTTAGTCAAGGATATTTTATTTATTGATGAAGTGGATGAGGCACTAGTTACCTTCATTGGCATGAGGGATAAATCTGGTAGTTCAGCATGGATGGAGATCAAATTACTTAAGAAAATTCATGGATTGTAAATGACAGAAATTAATTGTATTGAAATTACATAATACAAATGTACATAATACGCAAAGTAACATAACCATAAATAAATAGATAACACAGTTTATTACTAACGGTGACAGAGAAACAACAATAAAAAAATTTAATTAACTAATCACAGAAATGACTTGTATCCGTATGAGTACTTGTTCTTTTTATAATTGTCTGTTACAACTGTTACCCTCACACAAGCTAAATACTTGGCAGTTTCGAATGGTACACCAGCTCGACCATATGTAAATCTTCATCAAACTTTTACTTTCTTCACAACCATTTTATTTTGTGAACATTATTTTTTTTACCCTTCTATATTATTAATTCATCCCTCCATACTTTTTAAATCATTCCCTTTCCTTTTACTCTTTCCTTAAGATTAAAAGGAATCCTTATTATATTCATCATAACGTATATCATCCATCCTCTTAATTTTATTCAAATTTTTCTTATCTACATTTATTGCTAATAATTTTATTTACTTCATTTTAGTTTCTGGCTACTTAGTTTTATATTTGAATATTCTTGTACTTCATTCACTCTGTTTATATATTTTGATCTCCTTAATTCATTCATATACTTTTTATTTGCACTGTTTGTAATATTCTTAATTTTATATTTTTATATATTGTCCATTCTAACCCTGATGAAGACCTACTTAGTTGCGTTGAAATGTTGGCTTAAAATAAAATAATTTTTCACTATTTTAAGTTATCTATTTCCTAATTTAAATAATTTCTTTTTCTTTCTTTTTTTAATAATATGAAAAACTTACCACTTCTCATGGCATGTATTAGAGCACCTTCTACAAATGAAAAAGCCATGGCACATTCATTATTTTTAATTTGCAATTGTAACTTATGTATTTTAACACCCATTTGCTGCCATTTTTGCAATAAAGTAGGATTATTTTTTTCATTAAGCCTTTTTACAGCTGCCTTCTGACTTTGAAGCATCATTTTCAAAAGTATTGACCACTTTCTTTTTGAAATGCAAATCTGTAATACGAAATATTAACAATAATTTTTAATAATACTAAATAATGATAAATATGAATAATACTTATAATCATTTTATATAAACCTAGTAAAATGGCAATAACCAAATGTCTAATTTCAAGTTACTGAAAATCATTTAATTAGCATTGCTCGAAAATGTATGGATACATATTAAAATGAAGCAATGTTCTTGAAACACAATAAAACAGTCCTGGGAAGTAAGCAGAAAGAAAAGAAACTCCAGATGAAATTTCAAAACAAATGTATAGAGAGAATAATCATTGAACACCTAATCTATGACAACAGGTTAGTAGCCAGGAGTAAACAAAAAATAATTTATTCAAAAACACAGAAACTAGTGCACAGGTAGGGAACCTGCGGCCTCTGTTAGTTTTTGTTAATGTAACATTACAATTAGTTAATATTTAATTTTTTATTTTATAGAATTAAGTTGAATATATCTATGTAATTTGTTTTTACATACAAATATAATAGCAACATTAAATTCAAAAAATTATCAATGGCCACCAATATCAATGTCTAATCTTACAGCAGTCTCTAATGATAAAAAAGTTTCCCACCTATGAACTTCATGAACTTACTTATAAGGTCTTGGACTTCACCTAATAATCAAATGGTGATGATAATTCAACTTCAAATGAAATTAAAAGCTGACATTTATCAGTGAAAAGTTATGTTTTGAATGTGGCGAGATATCAAACGTGTCATGTTTTCAAGATCCCACCTTTTAGCCAAACAATTCTGAAGTGTACCAAAGGCCACAGGCGGATCTACGGGAGGGAGGAGGGGTCTTTCGGGGTGAAGCCCCCCCCCCCAAAATGGTAAAATATAACCATGTTTTACAGAAAAAAATATTAAAAACTATCTCTTAAAGTATCCTTGTTCGGGTAATTATATATAATAGAACTTCAAGAACCACTTAAACACCGTTTCATAGAGGTAATTAATTTCTTTATTTTTCTTCAAATTAATTATCGTTATATGTATATGGAAAAAAATCTTTCGGGCTGAAGCCCCCCCCCCAAAATAAATCCTGGATCCGCTAGTGCCAAAGGCAATTGAACATATAACAGGAATCCAACATCAGAAATGTCTAGAGGTCGTTAATCCCAAAGGAGCTCAATTATTAGACAGCAAATGATCATACACAGTTTTATCATCCACAAAAAATACTGGAGCTTGACTGGGGTGTTATCACATCCACCATACTTGTCTGTTATGGTAGCTGCTGCCTGCATATTACTCAAAAATGAGGTGGATTTGCCCAATGTACTTTGTTCCAGATAAAATCATCATTCTTTAATAATGAAAGTATATATCAAGAGTTTAAAACTTTTAACATATCATAGGAGGAATATTATAAATACGTTACTATAATTCAACTAATTTGAAAAAGGCAGATAACTGAATTTTCCTAGCTGTTGTTATTTAGTTGTAGTAATCTGCTTAAACTATTATAGCATACTAAGAAACAGGTTTATTACGTATGAATTGTGATTTATGTTTCACTTACTGAGATGTTTTCCAAGAATTTCAAGTTTTCTTTTATGTTGAAAAAAGATCTGAATAACTCTTCAAACTCGTCTCTCAAACTCATGATTATATTTTTAACATCAACTGGTTTATAACTGAAACAAATCAATTAAAGATATTACAAAAAAAAAAAAAAAAAATAGAAAATGTAGATCACCAATTTTCATCTTTAATTTATAATTTTGGCGATGTTTTGGCTAAACTAGAGCCATTCTCAAGTCTTATTTAGAAACATAGGATGGATCTATTAACATTCTTTATGCCAATATTGTTTTTCATTTGTTTTAATAAAAACAAATACATTACTTATTATAAAAAAAAAAAGTTGATTTAATCATAATTCTACTAATAAAATAATTCTACGAATTCAGAAATAAAATAAAAATCACTATGTGCAAATGCTTATGGACAAATGGTAAAATGTTTCAAGTTAATTAAGTAATGTATTATTAAATTAGTGATGTGATTTAATAAAATAAGAAATGCTCAAGTTAAATAAATAATAAGTAATTTGAACATTATTGTCATGGGCAAACAAAATTTCATCAAATCTTCAATGGAAGACATATTTTAAACATAACGTCACTTTAAAAAAAAAAAAATAAAAAAGTCATTACAGGATATTTCATATCATAAACTCAGATTCTTAAGAACTTTCATGCATTTTCACTTGGTAAAATCAGAACATTTTGCACTTTTAAATGTATTTCATATCTAAAAGAGTTTGCACCATTTTGGTGCACTTATTGTATTTGTTTATCAATAAATAAGGTCAAAATTACACTGATATATTATAATACCATATTGTTAATCATTTATAAGAATGACAATATCAACAGACAAAATTCAGAAAAATAGAAAAACTTTAAAAACCTAAACACAAAATATTTTTTTTAAAACACTATACCCGCCAAGAAGATCTGAGCTATCACTCTGTTGATTCATATTAATTACAACTAATGTATGTCCAGTTTGTTTGGCGAGAATTTGCAATGTAGTCGTTTTGCCAGTTCCAGTTTCACCAACTAATAAGGCTGGCTCATTTAGAGATAGACAAACAGCCAATCTTTCAAGCAAACAGCAAGATGTCCTAGTCAATGCGTATTTCATTCCCTCTGACAAACTATAACATGAATGAATTAAAACATTAGAATAAATAAATGAACCAATCTAACCATAAACCACCACTGTAACGCATTTACCTCTTCAAAGAAATATTTTCAACAGTATCAAGACGAGCAAGTACACCACGCCCGGCAACACATGATGTTGGAGTAATAATCACACTTGGTTTATAAGTTAAACAGAAATGTTCAGCCGTTGGTTTGAGAATCCCTAACAAGGCAGCAATTTGTCCTGATAACTCCAACCTGGCCACTAAACATACACATCTTAATTGAAACAAAAATCTTAATTTTTAATAAGTTTATTGAAGCAGAATTACTTACCTGAATCACTGTAACTACAACAAAATATGTCAATGGCATCTTGCAAGACCTTCAAGGTAGAATTGACGGAAGTGACAACAAAGTACTTTATTGCTCTACTGCACCATTTGAATAAATCCCTAAAAAATACTCTTTTTTAAATTTCATTTCAATAAAATAATATTTAGTATAACAAAAATTGGAATTTAAATACAGCTTATTTTTTTAATCTTCAAAATAAAAATTATCAGTTATACTAGAACAGTTTAATGTACGATATAAGTAAAATATAGTAATAACTAAATCAAATTCAAATTATAAAATATATGAATATTTAGTATTTTTATAAACTAAATAAGCATATTATGAATACATTTCATTTACTATTTTTTACCTTGTTGAAATCAGTCGACTTCCATAATGTATTTTAGTTGTTTCACCTTCATGATTACCTTCAGAGAACAATAGAAAAACAGAAGTCATGCGTGATGCAACTGTTTTTAATAATGGAAACTGTAAGAAAGATATAATTATAAAATAAAATATAAAACACTGAACTCTCCACCAAAAATGTGTTTAAATAAAATAAAAACCTTAATCTGAATGACATCAGTAAGTTCTTCTTTCGTCAGAGGTTCGAGGTTGACTTTAACCCAATGTCTTTCCAACAATTCTGTATTATAGGCTTCCTTACGATTGTAACCCTGAATACTGTTGACCAGCCTGATAAAAGTTAATATAGCATCTATTAGATGTCATAATCATTCTAAGTTTTGAAAAATATATCTTCCAATAAATTTTTACAAATAGTATCTGAAACATTTTCAAATACAAGAGTGAATAAGGATACTTAATAGGTTACCTATGTGTCATAAAGAGATGAAATCCTGGAGTGGGTTGTACTCTGTCTTTGAATCCAGGTATAGTAATGCTATTCTCTTCCAAGAGGCTAGATAACAAGGCTGCTACATCACTAGTGGCACTGCCAATATCTTCGAGTAAAAGCCAATGCCCTTCTAATAAAGCCTATTATAAAAAAGTGAAAAAGAGATTATTTTATTTATTTATTATTCATTTTATTTAAAGCTTCATCTAAAACTATACCTTAATTAAAATGGATCAAATACAACTTTATAATCCCTTCTGATAAACTTCTACAAGTCAGAGCATTCTTGTAGGTAAACAATCAGCACATCGAAATGGGTTAGTTAAAAACATTATTAACCAGTAAAAAAAAAAAAATGTTTTTTCGATAAGCAAGAAAAATGGGAATAAATTAATAGCAGAAAGCTGTAATTTTTTAAAAATTTATTGAAATCACAAAATTTTTATAATAACAAATACTAATTTTATCAGTATTAATACTGAGCTATTTTCCCTAATCAGTGGAACAAACAACTTGTGAACATAAACAAAATGAAAATTGATTAACAATTCACCTTAGTTAGCATTCCAGGAGACCAAACAAATTCACCAGGAACATCGGTACACTGATATGTACCCAAAAGTAGTTTTGAATCAGTCTCTTCTCCAAGCTGCACTTTAAGCAAATCTTTAGTTTCACTTCTTCCTAAAAGACAATCAGAAAATGTTTTCTCATAAAATACAGCTATGTGCGATAAGGGGAAATCAAATTTTAAAAAAACAAACAGACAATGATAATCAGAATGATAAATAACAGTTTCGTTAATTTACAAACTCGCTTACCTGTAACCATAGCTAAATGAGAAATCAAAGAAGTTTTTCCACTGCCAACTGGTCCCATAAGACACACAGCTTTGCCAGTAGAAATTCCTATTGCAATCTTTCTTAAATTATGTAATGTTGACTTAGTTTCGACTAAGCAGCCTTCTTTTTTCTAGAAGCACAAGTAATAGAAGATATAATATTTATCATACTGCACTAATTCAATAACTTAAAGCCTAGATTTGCATACTTGTTTTTTAGGATTGAAAACAGGAAGATACACTCCAGCAACATTCACAGATAGGTTCTCTACATCTTGTTTAAACAAAGGTTCAAAAATTCTGGATGGATTGAGGTCTAGACAAAAAAAAAAATTGTATAAAAGAATAATGGTCTTTAAAAAAAACAAACAAGAAAAAAGTAGTTTATATACCTGCATCTGAATTCAATGAAAAATCAGCTGACTGTCTATCCATTTCATATTCAACAAGGTATTGATAGTGCTGTTCTTGTGAAAAATATTTATGCACTAGCCTCATTTTATTATATTCACTCATACCAAGAATAATTGAAATGCACTGACATGAAACCCTAAAAAAAAATAAAATAACAAATATAATAAAAAAACTACAGTGTGGGCTTTAGACCACACGACAGAAGTGAAAACATCAACAAGGTTAATGATATCTTATATCTTATACAAAAGATAAATTTATTTGTTGTATATTAAAAAAGTAATAACATTTACAATTTATATAATTATAGTTGTGTATAAACAATTTTTGTTCTATATTCACAAAATAATAAAAGTTACAATATATACAATTATAATTGTGTTTTAATTACTGTAGTAAACTTTGCGTTGACTGATCATCATTTTTATTATACTCTAAAAATGATGTAATAGGATTGTAACTAAAATATGTGATGAACACTTTTGATTGAAATCTATTTGCTAAATGTCACCAAAAACTCGGCCATTTTTTTAATATAACTTCTGTAATGAAAGTCAGTAATTTGTTGAAACTCTATTGAATGCAACAGAAAATCAATTAGAAACATATAAGTTCTTATTTTTATGGCTAAAAAAAAAGCTATATTGACTTCTGCAAATCAGTTTCTGAATTTTCCATGGAATTAAAATTTTGAAATATTTTAGTCTAAATGTTCAAAACAGTCGTTCTTATTTGATTTTTTGGCACTTTCATTTTCCCTTTCCGACTCTCTGTCATGTAAAATACAATTTTGATTTATAGCTCATTGCAAACAGAATGAAAGCCAGAACATTTCTCTCGCTTACAGTATGAAAGTCCAATTTTTAGTTTCTGAAATATTTTAATCCATATCTTCAATAAAACTCTTTATCATTTCATTTTTGACACTTTTTTTTCCCGTTTTGCAACACAGTGTCCTAATAAGTTACAAAATTGAATAATAGCTCATTACAAAGAGGATTTAATATTGAACATTTTCCTCGCTTACAGCATGGAGGTCAGATTTTTACTTTCTGAGATATTTTAATACATATGCAAAAACACTTCAATTAGTCGAATCGAACCGACTTTGCCCCAATAAACATTACAAATCCGAGCCTGATGGCTCAGTTTCATTCACTTCCCACAAAAAAAGTGCAAAACGCGTCCAAAGAAGTTTCCACTTCAATAAATGTGTAGTGTTATCAAATAAATACATTTAAAAAAAAATTGAATATAAAAAAAGTTTCACAATGGTGTAAATACTGTTGACTGTAAATCTAATTTAAGGAGAAGTTAATTGAGATGTGATAAAAAAAGCCACACACATGATAAACAAAACTTATATCTATTGATGGTCTATGTTGTAGGTCATCAAGAAAATTGTACAGTAGAGTTGGTGGAAAGGAAAGCAGTAGTTTATACAAAACATGCCGGATATGAGTTAGGAATGTAATGTCAATCATTTCATTTTAATGATGAACAAGCCTATTAATGTTAGCTCCATAAAAACTCTTAAATATTAGAATATTAATAAGCCTTATAAAGATGATACTGAAGAACATAATAGTTGCGAGTAGTTTCACGGATATATTTCTGAGCCCTTCACAAAAAAAAAAAGTGAAATGGTGATAGTATCTTCATCCATTCTCTTTTATAATACAAAGCAAGAAATAATAAATGAAATGAAATGAAAAAGTAAATTTTATTCCGGGACTACAGTCCTCTAAGAATAATAACAGAGTTACTTAATTTAGAATATTAGTCTGGCTTAGATGAATACAAAATGATGCCTAATTAACTGTTGATTGTTATTGCAATTGTACAGTTCATTAAATTAAACAGTACAGACTCAAGTAAATTTTACATGTTTGCGGAAGTTTGAATATGGAGTACGTGGACGTAAACAGGACTTGTTTGAAGGAATTTGTGGAGGACGATTGATGTATGGAGTTAGGCAGAGGGTTCCAAAAGGAGGTAGCACGAATGACCAAGTATTTGCTGAAGGTAGCAGTTTTATGGGAGCGGATATATAAATCTATAGTTTGAGACCTGTTATTGACAGAGTGGATAGAGGAACATAGTCAGGAATTCAAGGATGCAGAGAGGGTTTTCTGAGGACTTGGGAAAGGAAAACACCAAGAGGAATTGTTGTCAAAAAGTAATATGAAGCCACTTCAACTCGGGATACCTGAATGTAACACGAGAACACTTCGGGATCCCAAAGATGTATCTTATGAAACAGTTCATGAGTTTCTTCAATCTTGTTTCTAGCTTGATACCATGCAGCCGTAGTCGAAGTGGGGGAATATAAGCGAGGTTACAAGGAGCTATCTGGTTTTTAAAGGAATATAATCATGGAATCTTAGGAGTTGTTTTAGGACAGTTATAGATTTTTGGGTAATCTGGAAGGCATGGTTATTCCAGCACAGGTTCTGGTCAAATGTTACTCTTAGGTTTTTGACTGTAGGGAAAAATGGGTGGGACGGTGATTGAGGTAAAGTAGAGGAAAGTAAGGAAGCAAACTAATGAGATGTCTGGAATCTACGAGGATAAACTTAGTTTTATCTGCATTCAGCTGTAACTCAATTATTTCATAATAAAGAGCATCATATGACCAGAACTAAATAAATATCTCTAACAGTACCACTAGAGGATAAAAATAAATGAGGAATAAAATATTTATATAAATCATCTAATATTGAGTCTCGTATTAAGAAAAGATCCAAAGGATGGCCTCAGAGGAAAGGAATGAAAAAAAAAAAAGACCTGTACCACTACAGCCCACGAAGGGTCTTGGGTTCAATACTATTTAGGGAAAGTACTGTTTCTTGGTCAACGGTAGTGATTTAACCAAGATTACGCTCATCCACCAGGTTTTTCCCCTTAATTAATTATAGCTACCCACTTTAAATATAGAGACTGGGTCTCCCGATGGCAGGGATGATCCTCTGTCGATGGCACAGAAGAAATAATAATTTATCTGCCATAAGCCGGGATTCGAAGTTAGGACCTTGAGCAATGGAAGCTCAGTGCCCTACCTCTGAGTTACTACACTATAATAAGAAAATAAGAATATTTAAAATTATTGAGAAATTGTGTTCAAAAGAAAGCAGAATAAAAGAAAAATTGAAGCAACATTGGCAGGAAGAGGTGGAAGTATATTCAAAAGTCCTTAACTAAGGACTTCTAGGAAACTAGAAGAAAGTGGCAAAGGAGAAGATGGAGTGGGAAAGAAAGATCCTTTCTAAGATTGAAGTTCTATTAGAGATAGTACATTTTGGAGAAGTCTATGTCAAGAAAATGGCATAATTTACATTAGATTATTGTCTGTTTTTTTAATTTTAAAACTCAAACATCAAAATACTCACCAGCGCACTTTGTCATCATTATGTGAAAGGAATTTTTCAATAAAATCTCCCCAGTTCCATTTTGTTTTAAAATATGAAGCATACGTTTTAAGGAAAATCCAACAACTCTCTACAATTTCTAAATCTGGAACTTCAGAATCATTAAATTTCTTCTTTTTAGCTTGGTTTGAATCAAGCCTTTCCAAAATCCATGGAGCATTCTTATCATCAAAAAATGACAAAAATTGGCTAAAAACATTAAATATTTTAAATAATGTTACATTAATAAAAATAATATATTATAATACTATGATGATATTCTCAGAATAAAATTATCTTACTGGATAACATCAGGTCTAAATGTAAGAACTATTTTCAGCATTGAGCATTTAGTCTGATAATGTGCCTCACTTGCTAACGCATATCTGATAATTTCCAAAGCACAAGGTTCAAATAAAAACAGTATTCTTTTGGTATGAAGAGGATTCAAAATAAGATTTGAAAGGAAAATAACAGATTTTTCCAAATGATTGTTTGACCATTCCTGGAACAAAAAGAATAAGTATAACTTCTAAAAGAAATATTTAAAAATAAAATAATTAAAAAATATATATTAGGATAAAAACGTGGGACTTCCAACTTCTCAGATTTGAATCCGTTATAGTAGTTAATTTAGATTGTTCCGTCAGCCAAGAATTAGTAGTGCCTGCCTCTATGAAATTGGAATCCATCCTTACGATAGGTCAGCGGGAGAAATGGCAGGCATATGATACTGACCACACACTTAACTAGTAGGAGTATTGGTGTAGATTCAAAATTTCTTTACCAGGGACAGTAGCAAAGAACTATTATCAATTATAGTAGTGCAAGTATTAGGACACTGAACATAACTTGGTTTGAGGAGTTGGTCCGCGGTGTTATAAAATTTAATACTATATATTAAAATAGTATTTTATTGGATATGCCAACATTTGACTTGGTTTTATTAAAAATTGTCTTTGCTTATTTTTTTATGAACCAAAGGAAATAATAAAAAGAAATGATTGTGTTAGTATTCTTAAGGAATTGATTTTGTGGTCATTTCTAAAAAAAAATTAGATTAATATGAGTGAAAATATACTATTACTAAGCAAAACAATAATCAGATGGATGCAGTAGTAATTTTACAACCATAATATATTTGAAAAGTTTTAAAACATTTAAAAGAATTAACTAGCTGAGCTAAATCAACCTTAAGAAAATTTCAATGACTCTGTTTAATCACTTAAAATTTACAAGCTTTTTAGGAGATAATGATGTGAACTAGATTTTTCAAAAAACAAGTTTCTATTATTAAAAAAAACTATCATATTTTAATGTACCTTTGGATTAGAATCTATGAACATCTTGAAGGTTGAACAATTTGTTTGCGAACATTGTGATAATTTGGAAAACCCTTTATGGATTTGCCTCACAGTGTACTCGAATTCTTCAGGAGATTTACCACACAGCTTATTAAGAGACATCATGTCCAAAATATTCCACAGATCATCACCACTACTGTCCACTAAGTACTGTCAACAAGCAATGAGAAAGATGCCGACAACAACCACGTGGTTAGAAACTGAACTGACAGAGCGTAAACATAACCATGGTTGTAACCTTCATGTCAAGAATTCATGTTATGCCCATGACATTTATTTATTGTATTTATTTTTTACTGACAATACCGTGCTTTTTTCCTATTTCCTATTTTTCTACGAAGTTATTTTAAAAGATACCTCATTTGCGAAATAAAGGATATTGGTGAGATATATCAACGAGTCTTTGTTATATTATTTAATTAATCTTTAAGTTGAAGTTTTTTATTTAGTATATAAAAATATTCGATAATATTAATGTAGTTCTTTTTATGAATATAAAATTATCAAATTATCAATCATTTTATTTCTTAATAGATACATAGATTTATCTACTGACTTCTCTAAATAATAAAATTGCTGTATTTCTAGAATACATTGTACAATAGAAATTAATAATATAATTTATGCAACAACAGTTTAAATGAATTTTGTTTTTAATTTTCAGGCGTAATGTTAGTCAAAATGAATCAACCAAATGTTATTGAAGAAGTGGCGTCTTCTTTCAAGACACACGAATTTTCCAAAACAGTTTTTAATACAGATATTCAATTTTCTGTGTTAAAAATGGAAAAGTCAGTTTTAATCTGGATAGGACTCAAAGAGCAAAGACATTTTAGTGATTTATGTTTAGGATTACAAAGTAAATTCAGTGACATGCCTCTTAGTACCCATTTATTTGGAAACTCAGCAGAAGTTATTTCTAAAAGTTTTGTTTCAAAAATATCTAAAAAACTTGGTAAACCTGTTTATTTGAGTTATAATATTTCTGATAATCAAATGATGCCAGAAATTATTAAACTATTAGTATCAGAAATTGATAATAATCCTCAATATTTTTAAATTGTTTGTACCTGTGTATTTATATTTTTTTTTGTACATATTGTTAATAATACATGTATTTCAGCTATATTTTGGATATTCTTTATGAATAATTGCATCTTTCTTCTTAAAAAAGTAAAAATTCCTGATCCCTTTCCAGGACATTATGGGTAAAATTGGTTTAATTTAATGGAAGAGGAGTATGGTTGCAGTGATCAGTCAAGAAAAAAAGTAAAAATAAATAAGGATATTCTTTTATTTATTTTTTATTTTTGTCAAACTTTCGGCCAAAAGTTCGGGCCTTCACCAGGGCTACAAAAAAAAAAAAAACATTAACAAAAACTATTAACATTAAAAAATAAAAAAATAATATATATGTGAAAGGTGTAATCTAAAAAATGTAGGTAGAATAAACTTCAAGTAAATTAAAGTAGGCAGGAAAGACTTAAAGAAAATAAATTAGGTAGAATAAACTTAAAGTAAATATAATAAAACGGTAACAAAGTTGAGGGTAGAAAATAACGGAAGCAAACCCTTAACTTTGTTACCATTGTTATATTTTCTTTAAGTTTATTGTACCTAATTTATTTTACTTTAAGTTTTTTCTGTCTACTTTATTTTACTTTAAGTTTATTCTACCTACATTTTTGAGACTCTACCTTTCACCTACATATTATTTTTACTTTTCTACCTATACTAGGTAAGGAAAGTATTGCAATCGAGTCAAATTTCCGATATACGGTTTTCGAACATATTATTAGCCATTGGTCTGTCTGTGCCAAGAATTTCTCGGGAACTACTGAACCGATTTTGTTGCTTATTTTTTTATTTTGTAGGGTTTTGACTACTGATGCCTGTGACAAATTCGGTGCTCCAGGCGCAATAAATGAAAAACCTGTTTTTCTGTGGACTGTAGCGTGAAAACGGCTCTAACGATTTTGATGAAACTTTCCTTTGATGTTCTAATAATTGTCCTTTAAATTTTATATGGACTTAATTCCCGAGAAAATTCAGGAAAAAAGTCATAAAGAAAAGTAAAATGTTTTGGGGCCTAACTCGCTAAGTGTATATTATAGGGTAAAATTTATAATGAAATTTTTGAAAGGTAATTAAATTACCAACAAAACAAAAAAAATATCATCGGAATCGAAGCAGTATTAACAAAGTTACAGCTATTCAATTTCCAATGTAAGATTACAGGTTTTCGTGGTGTCAGAAAGGGGTTACTGAGATAAAAAAGATGATTAACTGAAAGTAAGAAAATCTGTTGCCCACATCACACATGCTTCACTATTTTCTCTACTTTTAACAAGGATTATTGTTTGACAAAATTAAGCTATGCCAAAAAGTTTTTGATCAGCAATATTAGAGAGTATTGAAATTTTTATACTGATCTACCTTAAGTCGGTTTACATTGCTTTAGTTTATCAAATAAATCGTACTCAAATCTTTTCTTTGAACAATTTGTACAACGATTTATTTGATGTAAACCGACTTAAGGTAGATCAGTGTAAAAATTTCAATATTCTCTAATATTGCTGATCAAAAACTTTTTGGAATAGCTTAATTTTGTCAAACAATAATCTTTGTTAAAAGTAGAGGAAATAGTGAAGCATGTGTGATGTGGGCATCAGATTTTCTTGCTTTCAGTTAGTCATCTTTTTTAACCGGAAGTGCCACTTTATACCTTCGATTTAACACATTTTTACAATTTTCTCTAAAATTTTTTATTAAATTTGATTAAATCTCTAAAACGATTTTGATTAAATTCATTATATCAGTGTAAAATTAACCATTTTTAATATAATGTAGCTCTCATTCCAATTGATATTCTGTAACAGTATTCAAATGCCTAATTTCTTCATCTTAAAGTACAGTTAATTTTTTTATTTGAAATAATTAACCATTTCTTATTGAGAAGCGATATAAAAAATTGTTAAATATAATGAATGAAGAAAATTTATCAGTAACTAAAGGAGAAATAAGGATTGAAAGCTATACGGAATCAACCGAGAGCGCCCGATCTTTACCGATACTTTTCGTTTAAAGATACCTGATACCCAGATACTGATTAAATCAACCACTATCTGCCTTCCTTTCTTTATCCTCTGGAGTTGCCCAGGGTTCCTGCACATCTCCTCTCCTTTTCAGCTCCTACATTAAAGACCTACATAAATCAATTCTCCATTGTTCCCACCATCTTTATACAGACGATTCTCAGATGTACCTATCATTTTCCCCTCCTGAGTTATTGGGGGCATTTGCCAAGATCCAAGAAGACCTAGTGACTGGGCAAATGTAAATGGATTAAGGTTAAATGCTGCCAAAACTCAGGCCATTGTCATTGCTTCCAAGCCCCTTCTTGGATCCCACCGACTTTCCCATCCTTCACCTTAATGACCAGCCAACATCCTTCTACTCCTCTGTTAAAAATTTAGGATTTTTCATTTTTCAAAACCTCTCCTGGAATCACCATATTTCTCATATCTCTCGACAGACAATTTCCACCCTCAAATTATTCCATCGCTTCAGCCATCTCTTACCTCAACATAGGCGTAGACTCCTAGTTTCCTCTCTCATTTCCCCCCCCCTTTGACTATAGCTGTGTGGTGTATGATGGCCTCTCTGTGAAGCTCCGCGATAGACTGAAAAGACTAATGAACAGCTGGGTAAGATTTGTAATCGGGGCCCCAAGATACTCCCATGTCTCTCACTACTACGCTGATTTAAACTGGCTTTTCCCCTCCTTCCGAAGACAATATTTCCTGGGTACGTTCCTCTATCAAATCATCAACAACCATTGTCCTTCTTACGCCTACAACCTTCTCTAGTTCAAATCCTCAGTCATTCCCTGTCCACGAGATCTCTACCTTCTAATCTTTACATGCCTTCTCACAGATCTACCTCATTCCAAAACTCCTTTATTGCTTGCTCTGTCAATTTCTGTAATTTCCTCCCTATCAAAATTCAACATTCCCCATCCATATCTACATTCAGAACCCTCCTATTCCAAAAACAGTCATATAGTTGCTAACCATTCGACAATATACATTTATTTCATGCCATTCATTGTCAAATACAAATGCTAAATGATAATGTATTTATATTGCCAGATTCAGCTTTCTATTCTCTCAACAGAAACACAAAGCTGAATTTAATATATTTTTTAATTCTTTATTGTTTTCTTAAAAGTGTATACTGGTCTATCAGTTCGAATAGCTTTAAGAGTCTTGTCATAGAGTTAATTGTTTTGTATATAGGATGTTTACTTTATATTTTCTTTACATCACTTCTTTTTTTCGATTGATTTTATTTTGGCAAGATGTAATCTTTTAATTTTGTTCTATTTTGTTATTCTCAAGGTACTGTCTCCCAGAATTAAGTTATTTTCTATCTATCTACCCCTTTGTAGAGGGCTTTCATATTGTTAATTTAACGTTATGTTATTTTTTCGAAGAGCGATAAATGTTTCTGATAAAGCTCAGAATTTGTTCTTCCAGAAAAGTTCTATTTTTTTCCACAATCATTATTATTTGATACTATACACAGTCGTAAAAGGAAATGAAAAATGATACAAACGTATAAATTTAACAGATTCCATGCAATGTGGTGATTAATTTTTTTGAATGAAGTTATATCGTCATTTTCACTTTGACTTCTATATACATGAAAATACCTATCTACTCTAAGGTTGGTAAGTGAAAGTTGTGTGATGCGCACACCGCACCAATTTTTTCTTAGAGAACTCATTTCCAAGCTGCAGGGCCATTTATAGTAATTTTTCTCAGTTTTTGACTAATTTAGTAAAAATCAGGGTTCCTTGACTGTGATTATCGACCATACCACTCAACCAAATTATTATGTTTAGGCACTCACTCATTCGACACATAATCTAATGTTTGTTAATTTCTTAAAGAGTACATTTTTCGCTTCGATGTACCGTTAGGAGTTATAGGTGGCTAAAATCTGACTTTATAGGGTGTAAAAAATTTCCCTAGGTGGCCCGCGTTAACAATTTTGATGGTACAAATACAAGTTGGCTCCTATTGTATAACTGAACACAATTCAGGATTTAGAAGTACTTAAATGGCTGGAAAGTTAACAGTTCCGATAAACTCATTCCGCACTCCATGAACAAGTTTGACCGAAGTAATTGTGAACCAGGAAGTATTTACATTACAAATTCTTGTACAAATCTGTATAGGAGAGTCCTGACCGTGTAAAACGGCTTTAAGGTAGATGCCCTTTCTGATAAATGGTTGTTGCTGAGACACTAATTGGACTATGAGTGGACCTGGCCAGACTGGGACTGGTTTCAATTGAAGAGAAGTTTCAAATCAAGGGTAAAACTAAACTACTATTTTTATAATTTTACTTTCATTTGCACCTTTTTTAAGAATAGGATAGTGATCAATTTTCTTTGAAGTGTGTGAATACATAATTTTCCTTGGTATGGATAGGCCTCCCTGGTGACACATGCTTTTTCCATCCTTTTATTTTAAGGTTGTACAGACTACTTAAACATGTTTAATTATTTAACATTGCTTATTTGTGCTGAACAAGATCTATAAACTTGTACCACATATTCTAAACTATTTATATCAATGTTTTTTTAGATTTAACATTCTGAATAATATTGTTTTGATTAAATAAAAGAAAATTGTCACTACTTATGAGAATTTTAGGTATTATAATCACACTCAAGTTATCCACATAGATATCTCGTAGGGTCACTTTTGAGAAAATTTTGAAAATGAAATATAAAAAATAAAAGAAACAAAAAATAATCAGTGTTAAATTTGAATTTTTTATTTCTTTATTCTTCACTGCCTTGCCTTTTGGCTGTATAAATATTAGTGTTGAATTATGATTCATATTACATGTTTATTTTTTTAATTTTTATACTTAAATGCTATTATAGAAATGCAAGACATTTATTTGCATGCCTCTCCATGCAGAAAATTTGGTTAACTACACCATTGGTTATCCTCATCTTTTGAAATATATACTAATGTAATGACTGCAGAAAATTAGTTGAATTCACAAACTTCTTAATAGCGATGTAGAGTTATTTTAAGTGAGTTATATACCAATAACTTGTGAAACTCAATAAATTTTTGATTAATTATAGGTAATTATATATATATATATTTATTTATATTATTTTTGGGGATGGGCATGAAACAGAATATAAATAAGACATTAATTCAAAATAATATATTTTGTCATATTCATAGGAAGATTAAGTTTTCTGGTGAAAGATGTTATGCCTAGTTATTTTCAAGAATAACTCCAGGTCTGACAATTGTATTGGCATGGTGAACAGCTACATCTACTATCCTCATGTTGGGGGTGAGAAACTCTTGGATAGTGTCAACTCCTGCCCTGGGCTGCCTGTCAAATGGGAAGCCCATCGACCTCTTGTCTGGGTACAGCTTGTTCCTGATGCCACAGTAGCTGACTGCATCAGCACACTGGTTTGTTCTCGGGCCGCCACTCTTATCCTCCACCTTATTGAATTACATAAACATTTAATAGTCATGATTTTATAAAGTAAAAAATCTATGAACTTTAGGTTAATGCTTGACAACTTAGCTTTTGGTCAAGTACATAAACCTAAGGGAACATAACCTCCTCACCTTGTCCTGATTGAAATCTGATATCATGACGAATAGTTGACAAGCAAATCCCTCTGAAGTTCCTTTGCAGATTAGCATGTGTTGGGGCCAACCACAACCGCAGTAGTTGAACTGTTCCAATTGCACTCCAGCATTAGGTCTCCCACTGTCTAAGTTTCTGAATGTCTTTTCAAAAGGGATGGTCACAGAAGATTCAGAAGATTTTCTGGTGATTGTGTTTTTACCATTTTTCACTGTAATAAATACATTCTATGTAATAAATAAAATTTATAACAACTAAATTTTGTTGTCAAACTTTAGTTTAAAAAAACAAAAAAAACATAGTATTTTACAATTAAACTCACAATTGACTGTGAACTTGTCTAACTCAACAAAGAAATTCTTTTGATCTCGGAATAACATTGGAAGACCCCTTTCATCAAACTTGGGTGCCATGAAAATCCTACATGTACCCATTCTTGCTGAGCCGGTGTTTTCAACCTGTAAATATGAATCATTTATTATTAGAGAAGAATTCTCGGTTCCAAGACAAATATCAAGTTTCATTACCACTAACCATAATTTTATAACTAAATGGTCTGTGTTGGAGATGTGTGAACCTAGCTAAGACAGGTCCTCTTTGTGCGAAGTCTAGACCGCGAGATAGATCTACATCACTCTGTTGCCAGAATGTAAATAGTTTGTTTTTGTTTTGTAGTTTATCAGTTTGAACCTCTACAGATGCTACTCTTACGCCTGAGTAACCGAGCTGTAACATAAGGAAATTTTCTAGCATTGATATTTTTTTAATGATTTAATTATATTTAAAAAAAATTTCATCTAAACCTGTTGTGTAGTATAACGTGGAAGGGTGTTTTTATGTTCCTGGCACAAGTCATCAATAAAAGCATGCCATCTATAAAATATCGGATCCCTCATTGCTGTAGAAGTATCCCCCATTATACTAAATCCTTCCTGCAATTAACATATTTCAAAATATTACAAGATCAAAATAATTTATGTTAGTTTTGAATTTTCTTTTTCTCACCAAATGTTTTCCTTCAGGATCATGGCATAGTGCTATTGCAACGTGACCGAGGTTGTGGATGTCACCGTACATGTTCCTGTTAATTGATAACACACTTGATTCTAAGATGTTTCCTAATATGTCTATACCTCGAGATTCTGAAAGTTCTACGAATTTACCGTCGCCCTAAAATCAATTATTTAGCTATGAATCTGTTTTCATTAATGCAATAAATCTTTATTATAACATATAGCTAAAAGGCTGATATTTTACATCTACAACGGTTCCACTGTGAATTGCTGCAAAAACTCTGTCTCTCCACCTTTCCAAATCTTGAATATCAAATTTAGTATTATCAATTTCTCTGTAAACATCCTGAAATCAAATTATGAAGAATGGTAAATATTTAATTGTTTTTTTAAACAAGTCTAAAATCAAATATTTCTTAAAATAACCGATTATAATTAACTGATTCCTATTGAATTTTATTTTCACAAATAAAAGATTGGTTTTATAGTACTTCTTTGATATTACTTATTTAAGTAATATTACATAAGTAAATACTTCTAAAAAGTTTAATTAACATTTTTGTTTGGTTAATAAGAGCAAATTATTCTGTAATGTAAGTTTAAATTATGACAATATTGCTGATCAAAAAGTTAAATAAGTAATTCTATTTGAAAAAAAAATTAATTTTTTTGATCATGAAATAATATAAAATATGTTAATAATTTTTAACTTAGGATCCATATTTTTTACTTACATTTAGTTTTGTGTTGTTAAATCTGGGAGGCCAGTTTCTGCTGGCTACTAAACTGTCTAATTTGGGAAAATAGCCTTCTTCCATTGGTTCTCTCCAATTGATGAAGCGCTTAACACGGCCCAACTTGTTACATAGTCTTTCCATATTATATCTAGAAAAACTTATGCTTAATATGGAGAAAGTAAAATTATATAAGTATAATTAAACATCAAATAAATTATCTTATAAAGGAGATAATCTCGGGAGTGCAGTCAGAAATATAGACATAGTAATTAAATATTCCATGTAATGTATGTTAACAACTTAAGTTGTAACTTCAGTACACATTAAATGGTATATTTTGGTACATTGTATTATTTCTGACCGTACCCCCAAGATCTTGATTTCATCAACGGTCAAATCCTTTACGATCTTCATAACAATAAATTATTGTGTATTAACCTGGCCAGAACTTGTTGGTGCATATAGTAAAAGAGTTCTCCTCTCCTGTCCTTTTTCACTACTGAGTCTGGTCCATCATGTGGATAAACCAAGTGCCAATGCCAATGATGAAGGTTTATACCCAAATCTTCTCTGAAGTAGGCCAATCGGTGTTCATGATCCAAGTCAGAACCAGTGTAATCTACAGGAATTTCTATAGGTTCCTAAAAATACATAATTTTCATTAGTGGTTTTACCAACTAAACCATTGTTGAATTATGTCCAAGTAAATATACCCTCTGATCATCCATAAGACTGGATTCTTGTCTAGCTCTTGCAAAAAGACTTTTGTCCATAAACTTGTCAGGGAATACTTCTGCAAGTGAAGGCAAATTTAAATTCATCGTATCAGGTCGATGATATATTGCCACGGAATATGCATAGTTAAATAAATAGGGGTTGAGACGATCCCGGCTTTGGACAGCAGCTGCTTTAAAGTCTTCTAAATCCCTCATCCCTGAAACATCAGATAGTGAACAATAAATACACAGAGAATTATCAACAAATTTCAAATTTAATGCGACAAACAGCATACCCAAGAAGACTTCTATTAGCCTGGCAGCCATACTTCGATGGAAGGGGAGAAAGAGTGAGAAATTGGCTCTTTTGTCAAGCTGCAAAGGGAGGCTAATGTCTGGCAGAGTTATCTTCTTCACTGGTATCTTCTTTGCTCCTCCTCCTACTCTGTCTGTTAGGCTGTGTCCCAAAGGCTTGAAACGGTCAGTCTGCCAGTCATACATACATTAAATAATGTTAAATTGAAAAAAAAAAATAAATGAATAAAGAAGTTTAAGGTTTTCGATAAACTTACAAGATATTCATCTGGAATATCAAAGACTTCGTTGTCACCCTTAGGATAGAAGACGGGTTCTGTTGGTCGATCAAATAAATTCAGTAGAGTTTTATCTGCCATACTGACCTGTAAATTTACGGGGAGATTTATTTAATCCATTTTTGTTTTAAAATACTGAAAAAATTCAAATTAATCTTTAAAATAATTTTACAAGAAGTTGAATTTTAATGAAAAATAATGGAAACTGCTCCTCAATATGATGAATCATTTAGTTAGCATAATTGGCACCAATATTAGCAATGTTAAATTTCCCCATCAAATATGATATTTGAACACAATAATATTATTTTTAAAATATGCTTCGATTTTTTTTAATTTGTTGGATCTTTTACAACATTCTATTTGCTGATTAGGAAAATAACTATTTTAGTAATTTAATTGGGTTTACATATGTGTATTACACAAATCTAACAGCTAAGATAAAAAATTGTAAATTTACATGAATTATAATCTGTTATAAAACATTATTTTGCTTTACTATTATAAGTTTAATTATCACAATATTCTAAACCCATATTTATGGCTAAGTTTCTATTGATTTATTAACTAAACCAATTAGACAGTGCAACAAGGCTAACAAGAATTTTTCATAAAATGTTTATTAAAAACTCAACTTCGAAAAGCCCATAGTTAAATTAATAATAGATTTCATCGAGTGATTTTACCTTCTAAAAATTTAGATAATCATAAAATATTTGCTATTACGTAGTTACAAATCCTAATACCTTTTTGTTTTGGATTCGAGTTACACCCCATGAAACCAATTTGTCCCATGTTTGATGATAAGGGGTTACATATATATGTAATTGGAAGTAAACATTATTTAACTGATCAAATTGAAAAGATGCAATTAAAAAATTATTCTTTTTTTCTTTAAAGGAAGATATTTTTTTATGCAAATTCTATTTTAATAGCTCATAAAATTATGGAAAACGTTATGAATAATATATATATATATATATATATAATATATATTATATATATATAATATATAATATATTATAATATAATATATATTGAAAATTTTACCTTTCAGTTTAAAGTGATTGTGCTAGAAAAAAGTATGATTAATCATTAACTGTTGAACAGAGAATGAAATTTGTTTCTGAGACCAACCTTATATACCTAAAATAGGAGGAAGTCTTGAAAACCACATCTAGAGGTACTGTTCTGACCTCACATTAACCACATTGATAACAGCATCCTCCTATTTAGCCATTTGGTTTAAAGTTTGATGTTATGTACCTTTTTTTATTTTTTCACATTCAAACTAATTAAGAACTGATAAATCTACTTTGCAATGTATACTCATGTGATATCCACTTTTTGGAGAGGGGAGAATCTATTAACCATTATTTTTAATCCTGTGAAAAGATTAATTTACTAATAATATCTTTTTACTCAGAGATTTAGATGACGTTTTAAATCTTAAGTAGAGAAGAATAAAATTATAATAAAGGCGAATCCTACTTTCCTATTGCATAAACTATGTTAAAACATAAATAACTAACAAGTAGAAGGCATAGTCAGTGTGTCACCAATTTCAACTAAATTTTCTTGGGAATTTTAAATTGAAGAATATCTGAAATTCGTTCCAATTTGCATGTGTTGACAAAAAAAAATATGTAATTTCTAGGATTGGCTAAAGATTTTTTCCAAGAGGTAGGGAAAACAGAATTTTGGTGGGAAAAGCTATAAATGAATAGGACTTGTTGAATTTCAGGAAGGTACAATTTTAACAGTTTGACAGGTATTCCGTCTAATCCAATGGAATTGGAAACTTGATATTAAGGATGTTGGACAGAGATTAATAGAAGTAACGGGATTTGGCATGCCATACTGCTAGCAGTATGAGTGTTGTTTCAGAGTTCTTTAAAGAAGAGATAATCTTCCGGAAGTCGAGTTCGTTTAAACTACTGCCTTGCAGTGCTCATATACTCTCATAGCAGGTGTTAGCCTCATAGCAGGAGGAAGTCGGAAGGTTTTCCATTACAAGAGGGGAGGTTTTGTCGAGGATGGTGTGAAGATGACTGGTAAGGGTTTATATCATGGTGTTGATGGAGTTTGAGGAATAATTGTTATAATTAATATAAAAAATATAATAATAATAAAAATATAATAATGTTATAATAAATAAATATCGGATAGTGTCAAGATCATGTGACAGAGTTTCATAGGTGAGGGAATCGAGATTTCGGGAGGATATAGTTTGAGAGAAAAAACTTCCGCACGATAACCGGAGCTATCTGGGATCAGAGTACTACCTCATGGAGAAGAAAGACCAATAAAGAAATGCTTACAGAAACTGGTCAGTGAATATTCTATGATATGAAGGTATGGATGTTAAGATGGACTGGGCATGTAGCTCGTAGCATCTGGAAGCCTCTACGTACTCAATAGAAGACAAAAGACCACGTGGAAGGCCAAAAAGCAGATGGATAGATAGAATCAACAAAGATATAATAGAGCTGCATGGAGATAACTGGAATAGCCCAAGAAAGGCAGAGATGGAGCAGGCTTGTTAAGGCAGCAAAAGATCTACACGGTCTGTAATGTCAACTGAAAATAAAATAAATATATTTTTTTTTTTTTCCTGTTGACATTACAGACCTTGTAGATCTTTTGCCACCTTAACAAGCCAGCTCTATCTCTGCCTGTATATATATTAAAGTTGTGTATATATATATATATATATATATATATATATATATATATATATATATATATATATGCAACTTTAATATCTTATGTTAATGCAAATTTATGAAATGTGAGCCTTCTGGCGATCCAAGCCACTTGATATAATTTATCCAGTTATCCCTTCTATCATTAAAACAAAGAATAAACAGTGAAACCAACTTAATAAATTAAAAAAGCTTTAGAAGATAATGATGGAATAGCATCTGGGAGGAACAATACAGCAGTATGAAACAGGCTACTCCCAAAATAATGTTTTGTTTTGTCTTTTTACATTTAAAGATCTTCTTTTTTTTGGTTTACTATTTCTGATCTGATTTAATGTGTTTATTATGTGATCAGAGCCACCGAAGTGTGAGAGCTCTACGACAGTCGCTGAGAGAGATCTCTTTTGAAGAATGTGTCAGTTGCAGGTGGTAAGACGTATAGAGTAAGGCAATTTAAAGAGACCCTAAAAGCTAATCCGTATATATATGCCGGAAACAAGTACTTTCAGGGTCAGAATGGTCCAATGCCTTAAAACTCAATATAAACTATGTGCCTTTGCATGGAGTCCCAGGAGCCAGTGGGCAGTTGAAGGAATTCGGGTCCCTCTGTCGCAAATGTGGCAGAGAGCCTGAAACACCAGCCCACGTGCTGGGAAAATGCCCCAACAACTCCCTCCTCATAACACGCCAGCACCATAGGGTCAAGTTCGAGTTGATGAGGCTCCTTAGAAAAAAGAATTCACCTGCTTTGACAAGGTCTATTGCATCGACAGTGAGAGCTCTACAAGAAATGCGGACATAGTTGCATTTCCCAAGACAGGAGGGACGGCGCTGTTCTTGGACCCTACTGTCTGCTTTGAGAGCAATCAGGCGGGTGAAGTGGAAAGAGAAAAGAGGAACATTTATGATAAATGTATCCCTTTCCTAAAGAGAAATTTTGGGAGACCTTCGAGGTGAGAGAGTTCACCATGAGAGGCCTCTGGTATGAGTCTCGCGGAACGATTTCAAAAAGAACAAGGAGCTTTCTCGAGGAATTAGGTATTGATGTTGGGGAGCTTGCGATATTGGCCGAGAATATTATCCTGGACTCTCTGGGAATCATTCGCCATCACTTATATAGTAATTTACCATGAATTGAGGATGTCTTTTATCATTTATTTATTCAATTTTAAATTGTTAGCGTTGTCTTCTTTTTTTTTCTATAGTTGATGATATATGTGTGCAATAGTTGTTGGTGTATGTGCAATTTTGGATTCTTAGCATTCAAATTTTTTTTATGTGTATGTTATGCAATGTTAATGGCTCAGTGTAGTTTATTGGGCTTGATGTAATTATTAGTTAATATTTTGTAAGATTAGTATTATAATGAGATAGGAAAGATATATATATATATATATATATATATATATATATATGTATGTTAAGTTTCAGCAGGTTAAAACTATTGCAAATTGTCACTTGAATAAGTATTCAATGAATGCAAGAAACAAATTTATTTTGGCTAAATAGTGGTAAAACTATTTTATTGGAAGCCAACGTTTCGACCCGACTTTGCAGGTCTTCATCAGGGCTAGAATGGACAAGATACAAAAAGATAGAGAATTGTGGCAATTACATAATATTTAGACATAATTTATAAACAATGTGAATAAGCTTATTAAAATTATAAACAGTAAGTACAATAAAATATGGACTAAGTAAGCTGAGTAACAAGATCCTAAACTAAAGTAAATAGATGCTAACAATTGTTGTAGTGTAATATGTAATAAATGAAAATGTGAGTATAATTCTACAAAATCTACAGGAGAAAAATAAAATTAGAGACTTACAGGTGTGTTCATCTAGGAGTTTCACTTAGAACTGGAAAGGCAGCGGTAAGGATTGCAGGTATAGGGGAAGTTAACATGTGTTAACTAAGTAAACTTTGAAAAAACCCAGGAAATTACAGTATCTAGGAATTTTTGAAGATATGGATGGATACAATGGAAAAATACTATATTTATGAAATATTAAATTATAAATATATAAATATACATATAAAATAGAGTTGAGAGATGTGAGAGGTATTTCATGATTCTAGATCAGAGTACAATGAGAATAAACCCAAAATTGGCAAAAGTAAAATATAAATATAGAAATAACTTCATTAGCATACATACATTGCAGAGCTAACTTAAAAGTATAGAGAGGAGAAAAAAAAATATTAATATTTATAATTATATTTGGTTGTACATATGTAAGAAAATTACATTTGAATATTAGATAATGAGACATGGTTAATAAGTAAAATTAATATAAAGTGGGGGAAAAAGGATGATCATACATTGGTGTAGAGTGTAAATGTGAATTTAGAATAAAATAGAAGAGAGATCATATAAAGAAGGAATATTTAGAATAATGAACAATTAAATCAATTAATTAATAAAAATTGAGAGTAGATGAAAATAATAGAATGGAATATTTAAGTCATGTTATTTAAGTTATTTTTTACTTATAAGACTTAAAATGTGTCTATATGTAAGAGAAATATAGTTTTTGTCTACTTTGTGATTAATGGGATTCTGTTTCATGTGAATGTGGATAGATTCGGAAATGAGTCTTTTTTCATGGTTAGGGACCGTGGAAAGGATAGAAGTTTTTTTCAAAATCAAATGAGTGGTTGAGGGCTAAAGCATGTTCTGATAGTTTGGAGGCGGAAGGATTCCGGGAAGTTATGGACGTTTTATGTTGGGAAATGCGGGTTTTGAGATAGTTTTTTGTTTCACCAATATAGGAGCTATTGCAATTAGGAGTAGAGCAGGGTATCCGGTAAACTACATTGGATCGCTGTTGTAAGAGTATGGGATCCTTCAAGTTGGTGAAAAGGAAAGAAAGTTTGTTATGGGACTTTATCCCCTGTATTTTTTAAAGATTTATCCTTAACCCGCTCTTTCCTGAAAACAAACGACCACCTCATTATTACTAAGGCTGACAAGGGAAATTCGACCGTTATTATGGACAAGACAGAATACACACATAAAATACACCAACTACTTTTAGACCAAACAACTTACGCCCCCTCCCCCCGTAACCCAACCCGTACACTAATGTTAAAATTTAACCACCACATTAAAAACTTACTAGAGACTAAACAAATTAACCGTCCCACTTACTACAACCTTATATCCTACAATTCCCTAGCACCCCGCTTATATGGACTCCCAAAAATTCACAAACTTGGAAATCCCCTCCGCCCTATCATCTCCAATATATACGTCCCACAGCTAAACTCAGCAAATTCCTTTTACCCTCTCTCCAAAAACTTAGTCACAATAATCCTTACGACATTCATAATTCATTCCATCTTAATGAAGAGTTATCTTCGCTCCATATTCCTGAAAACTTTATCCTGGTTTCCCTAGACGCCGAAAGCCTTTTTACCAACATCCCAATAGACAAAGCCCTAGACATTGTAGAAAAAATCTGGACAATCATTGAACCTCACACCACCCTTAACCTCTCCTCATATCTTGAATCCCTTGAGCTTTGTTGCAGATCCGGTTTCCTCAGCTTCCAAGGAAAATTCTTTCATCAGATTTCTGGCCTAGCCATGGGTAATTCTTTTGCACCATATATTTCCAATATTGTTCTCAATGACCTTCTTGACTCTGTTATCCCTTCTTTTCATCAAGACATCATTTTCATAAAAAAATATGTTGATGACCTCTTCCTTGTTATTAACCCTGACAGCATCCCCCAAATTCTTTCCTTATTCAACTCCTATCACCCCTGTCTCCGTTTCACCATGGAGAAAGAAGATAACAATTCGCTCCCCTTCTTAAACCTCCTAATAATAAAAAACATTGAGGTTCTGTCTCTACTGACTGGTACACTAAACCCACATACTCAGGCAGACTACTCAACTATTACTCCCAACACCCATATCACCAAAAAATCAATACCGCGAAAAACCTCATTCAACGATCCCTCTCCTTATCCGATCCACAATACCATCAAACCAACACTCAGCGTGTCAAAAATATACTGCTCTCTAATAATTTTCCTCTCAACACCATACATAAACTTTTAAATTGCTATACAACCAAAAACAATACAACCTCCCATTCTCCCAACTCCCCACAATCATCTACCACTCCTTTCATATACAAATCTCTCCCCTATATTCCTATCCTCTCAGACAATATACAAAAATTCCTAAAATCGACTATAACCAACTTACGCCTTGGCCTTAAGTCCCATAACAAGCTTTCTTTCCTTTTCACCAACTTGAAGGATCCCATACTCTTACAACAGCGATCCAATGTAGTTTACCGGATACCCTGCTCTACTCCTAATTGCAATAGCTCCTATATTGGTGAAACAAAAAACTATCTCAAAACCCGCATTTCCCAACATAAAACGTCCATAACTTCCCGGAATCCTTCCGCCTCCAAACTATCAGAACATGCTTTAGCCCTCAACCACTCATTTGATTTTGAAAAAAACTTCTATCCTTTCCACGGTCCCTAACCATGAAAAAAGACTCATTTCCGAATCTATCCACATTCACATGAAACAGAATCCCATTAATCACAAAGTAGACAAAAACTATATTTCTCTTACATATAGACACATTTTAAGTCTTATAAGTAAAAAATAACTTAAATAACATGACTTAAATATTCCATTCTATTATTTTCATCTACTCTCAATTTTTATTAATTAATTGATTTAATTGTTCATTATTCTAAATATTCCTTCTTTATATGATCTCTCTTCTATTTTATTCTAAATTCACATTTACACTCTACACCAATGTATGATCATCCTTTTTCCCCCACTTTATATTAATTTTACTTATTAACCATGTCTCATTATCTAATATTCAAATGTAATTTTCTTACATATGTACAACCAAATATAATTATAAATATTAATATTTTTTTTTCTCCTCTCTATACTTTTAAGTTAGCTCTGCAATGTATGTATGCTAATGAAGTTATTTCTATATTTATATTTTACTTTTGCCAATTTTGGGTTTATTCTCATTGTACTCTGATCTAGAATCATGAAATACCTCTCACATCTCTCAACTCTATTTTATATGTATATTTATATATTTATAATTTAATATTTCATAAATATAGTATTTTTCCATTGTATCCATCCATATCTTCAAAAATTCCTAGATACTGTAATTTCCTGGGTTTTTTCAAAGTTTACTTAGTTAACACATGTTAACTTCCCCTATACCTGCAATCCTTACCGCTGCCTTTCCAGTTCTAAGTGAAACTCCTAGATGAACACACCTGTAAGTCTCTAATTTTATTTTTCTCCTGTAGATTTTGTAGAATTATACTCACATTTTCATTTATTACATATTACACTACAACAATTGTTAGCATCTATTTACTTTAGTTTAGGATCTTGTTACTCAGCTTACTTAGTCCATATTTTATTGTACTTACTGTTTATAATTTTAATAAGCTTATTCACATTGTTTATAAATTATGTCTAAATATTATGTAATTGCCACAATTCTCTATCTTTTTGTATCTTGTCCATTCTAGCCCTGATGAAGACCTGCAAAGTCGGGTCGAAACGTTGGCTTCCAATAAAATAGTTTTACCACTATTTAGCCTATTTATAACCGCAACCCCCGGACCATCTCCTTCCTTTATAATGCAATGGTCAACTATTAAATATTCAAATTTATTTTATTTGAACACGACAAAGATAATAATGAATAGTAAAATTAAATAAAACATGTGGTGTCATTATTGAAGTCTATTAGATTAAACTATGAAATGGTATTATGATTAATAAAAATAAATGCTGTATGTAAAGCAACCCTATGTAGTAGGGCAGCACTACTCAATAAAGTATTTCTCTCTGTAATAGCTGAAATAATGGATTATAGGTTCTTAAATTTTTTTATGACTTCAAATTTGTTTATTGTAATGCTTAATGAAATGGATGATTGTAGATCACATTTCACTTTAATAGTTTAAAATAGGAACTTACTGATCCAAGTTCATTTTTTTTTCAAGTTTAATTCAAAGTTGCATCTACACTGCATTATACCTATATGATGTAACCCTTAATATTTGTGTGGTGTTTAAAGTTTGCTTTGTCCCTATATCTTTAAACTTTTCTTGTTTCAAATTGGTTCTTTTTTTGTTTTCTAATTGTTTAATATTTGAGCAATAGTTTTGTAATACAATTTGTTATTATTTAATATTATATAAAATTTATTTTTGAACAAGTGGAAAAAAAAAACAGAGTAACCTTAAAAAATGAGCCCCCACACAAACAGATACATATTTTAACCAAGAGGGGATTCCAGAGTAAGGTGACTGCAATGTTGAAAGATAGAATTGTGAATAAAGGTAAAATTTTCCCAGTAGAAATATCTCTAAAATTAATAATAAAAAAGGTTGAAATTGGAGTTAGTCAGTTTGTCAACTGAATGGCTCATATGGTCAATGTAATGACAAACTTTGATGATTACTCAATAGTATCAACCCTGTAAATGACTCCTTAAAAATGAAAAAAAAAAAATTATTTATTTTTTATAATGTGATTGATTAGTAATTTTAGGAAGAAATCACAATTTGGCATGGTTAATAGTTTTTCATTAATTTAAAAAATATAGTACCTACCTTACTTCAAATTATATAAACAAATTTTCTTATTTAATATTATACTGAAAAATGTTTCAAAGAACTAGAATCCTTGAAATATAGCTGCTAAAAATCATTTATAAGCACTTTTTCAGGATCTAATAATAGTCTGATGATTAAACACAAGATTTTTTTTTAATATTTATAATTTTACATTGTTTATAAGAAATTGAGGTGTACAATTATTTGTTATACTCATATTATCCACCTAGGTTTCTCCGAGGGGCACCTGCTAATCTTTTTCTCTCAGAAAATTTCAATGTCAAAGAAAAGAAAAGTCATATGTCAAAACAATAATAATTATTGTTAAACTTATATTCAAATTACATGTTTTGTTTTTTTAACTTTTGTGCTTAGTATAAAACTTTTATATGAATAAAAGACACTTGCATATCTCTCCCCCAAAAAGAAAATTTGTTTATCGACAGCATTGATTAACCTCATATTTTGAAATATATATTAACTAGCTTTACCAGGCCACACGCTGCTGTGTCTTAGTTTGGCAAAATGGAAAAGAAAGAAAATAGAAAGCTCATATGAGTGGATTAATACCAACGAACATCTGTAATTTTTAAAAAGTTGGGAAGCAAATTTGTCTGTAAAATGGCTTTAATTTAAACTAATTCTAACAATTTTTTTTTCATAATTCAAGTTGAACATTCGTAATCATCCGAGTGAATACACCGTCATTCTTAATCATCAGAAACAGTCTAAGTTGAACTTATATTTGACATTATCTCTTCTGAAAATGACAGAGATCCGTCCTTTGATATCAAGCCGTTCATATATTTACATATTTAATTTTATTATTTTTTTAAAAATATATTTAATGTATTGTTTAATGTTTATGGCAAGTAAAAATGTAAATTTTTGGTCGTTTAAACTCTTAAATCTCAGAAAGTTCTTCACCCATTGCCTTGAAATTTTCGCTTAACGTTGCATTTAAATACGCGCTTGATTTAATATATCTACTATTATAAAAAATATGGTGAGACTATACAAATTTATTAAAAACGCATCATCAGTTGGATGTAAAAATAACACATGTGGTTCAAAATATTTTACGATACTATTTCAATGTTAAAGATTTTCAAATATCAATCGTGGCAATGCATTGAAATTGCGCTATACCATTTATCATCATATCGTTCATTCTGTGTGCATTAGAGTTGCCTTCCACCTTTCTCAAAAGATTTCGCATACCCCTCCTAAGATAGTTGATTGCTTGCTTCTTCTTAATAACAACTTGATTAAACATAGAGTTGTAAAAATTGTAGTGGAAAAATAAACCATAATTATGAAACAAATCCTACGGTAAATGGCACAACCTTATTCCAACATAATGTTAGAGAAAAGAAATTATTAAAAAATAAAATAAACTGAAATGAATAAAAAACCGATTTCTAAAAGGAACATAAACGGTGATAAGTATTTATCAAGAGTTAAACATTTTTAAATAAGAGCAAATCAAATATTTGAAATGTATCATATATCTTCCAAAATACATTGGGAGGAAAATAAAAAATTAATGTAAAGAGCGTATAATAGTAGTAAGGAGAATCATATCACTTCTTCAAATGATAATTTCAATTACTGCAGTAATTATAAAATTTTCGAAAATTATAAAAAAAAAGGAAATAGCCTTTTCAAAAGATAAAGCAGTAAATGTTTAAAACTCAATAACTCTGCAACGAATCGTCCGATTTTGATGATTTTTTTTTTTATTTTGTAGGGAATTCATGACGCTTTCAAATGAATATGGGTATTATCCATAAAAAATTGTGTACTTTTTTAGCTATCGGCAAATAAAATTTTGAATTAATCATAACATTTTTTTATCTTGTGACAGGAAAGTATGTTATATACACAAATTAAAAGGGTTTCAAGGGGAAGACTTTAGCCAAGTTTCGTTAAAGTCGTTTTGGCGTTACAGTTTATAGTGACATTTTTTGGCCACCATTTCGAAATAAAAATGTCCAAAAACACTCCTGATTTCGATTGCAATGCTTTGTCAAAATTTCAAAGCAATCGGTGAAGAACTTTCGGAGAATAGCGACTTTGAACAAAAAAACATTTACATTTTTATTTTTTTTACACATATAAAATTATCGTAAGATAGAAGTACTATGCCAGAAACCATCGCGGGAGTGTACGCAACAACTTCACAAAGTTTCATGGCGATCGGATGAATGGTTTAGTAATGCATAAAGGACAAACAGACAGACATACATTCATTTTTATATATATAGATGTAAGACCATTAAAACATATGTCTATAGACAATTAATTTAATTCATAAGTGCCTAAAAGGTGATTTAAGTGAATCACTTTTATTGTTTTAAGCAAGTTATATACCAATAACTTGTGAAACTCAATAAACTTTTCATTAAATATAGGAAATGGTATATATTTTATTTTTGAGAATGGCGGGGGATGAGCATGAAACAGAATATCAAGAAGGCATTAATTTGAAGTAATATATTTATAGAAAGATCAAGTATTCGAGTGAAAGATGTTATGCCGTAACTCTAGGTCTGGCAGGTGCATTGTCGTGGTGAATGGCTACATCCACTAATCTCATGTTGGGAGTGAGGAAATCTTCGATAGTCTCAACTCCTTCCCTGGGCTGCCTGTCAAATGGGAAGCCCATCGACCTCTTGTCTGGGTACAGCTGGTTCCTGATGCCACAGTAGCTGACTGCATCAGCACACTGGTTTGCTCTCTGGCCACTGCTCTTATCCTCCACCTTGTTGAGTTACATAAACATTTAATAATCATGATTTTATAAAGTAAAAAATCTATGAACTTTAGGTTAATGCTTGACAACTTAGCTTATGGTCAAATACATAAACATAATCTCCTCACCTTGTCCTGATTGAAGTCTGATATCATGACGAATAGTTGACAAGCAAATCCTTCTGAAGTTCCTTTGCAGATGAGCAAATGATGGGGCCAACCACAACCACAGTAGTTGAACTGTTCCAATTGTTCTCCAGGATTAGGTCTCCCGCTTTCCAAGTTTCTGAATGTCTTTTCATAAGGGATAGTGACAGAAGAATCAGTTGATTTTCTGGGGATTGTGGTTTTACCATTTTTCACTGTAATAAATACATTCTATATAATAAATGTAATTTATAAAAACTAAATTTTGTTGTCAAATTTTTGTTTTAAAAACAAAACATATAGTATTTTACAAACAAACTCACGATTGACTGTGAACTTGTCTAACTCAACAAAAAAATTCTTTTGATCTCGGAATAACATTGGAACACCTCTTTCATCGAATTTTGGTGCTATGAAAATCCTACAAGTGCCCATTCTTGCTGAGCCGGTATTTTCAACCTGTAAATGTGATTCGTTCAATACTACAGAAGAGTTCTCGGTTCCAAGACAAATATCAAGTTTCATTACCACTAACCATAATTTTATAACTAAATGGTCTGTGTTGGAGATGTGTGAACCTAGCTAAGACGGCTCCTCTTTGTGAGAAGTCAAGACCACGGGATAGATCTACATCGCTCTGTTGCCAGAATGTAAATAGTTTGTTTTTTTCTGGCTTTCCTTCAGTTTGAACCTCTATAGATTTTACTGTTATTCCTGAGTAACGAAGCTGTAACATATCGAAATTTATATCATTGATATCTTTTTAAAATAAATAAATTATATTTTTAAAATTTTTCATCTAAACCTGTTGTGTAGTATAACGTGGAAGGGTTATTTTGTGTTCCTGGAACAAGTCATCAATAAAAGCATGCCATCTATAAAATACCGGATCTCTCATTGCTGTAGCAGGATCTCCCATCACACTAAATGTTTCCTGCAATTAACATATTTTGAATTATTACAAGATCAAAATAATTTATGTTAATTTTGAATTTTCTTTTTCTCACCAAATGTTTTCCTTCGGGATCATGGCATATTGCTATTGCAACGTGACCAAGGTTGTGGAGGTCGCCATACAAATTACGGTTAACTGATAACACACTTGCTTCTATGATGTTCCCCAACATATTTATGCCTTCAGTTTCTGAAAGTTCTTCAAATTGACCATCACCCTAAAAACAATTATTTACCAATGAATCTGTTCTTATTAATGCAATAAATTATGATCATAGAATTTAGCAGAAAGGTTGATGTTTTACATTTTCCACTCTTCCACGGTGAATATCAGCTAAAATCCTGTCTCTCCACCGTTCCAAATCTTGAATATCAAATTTAGAATTATCAATTTCTCTGTAAACATCCTGAAATTTAATTATGAAAAATGTAAGTAACTATTTGATTTTCTAAACCAGTCTAAAATCAAATATTCCCTAAAATAACTAATTCCTATTGAATTTTATTTTCACAAATAAAATGTTGGCTACATTGCTTATTTATGTAATGCAATATATGTAAATGATTCCAAAAAGTTTAAATAATATTTTTTTGTATGGGTAATATGAGCAAATTATTTTATAATAATATTGATATAAGCTTAAATTATGATAAAGATAATCCTTATCAAAAATTACGTAAATAATCTTTTTTGACATTATTAATGTTGACCATGTTAAATTTGAATTTTCAATAATAGTCTGTTTTAACACTCCACTAAGACCATTAGCTTATCAAATATTTGCAGTTTATTTAATATTACTTCCTTGTCTACTAAAATGCTTAATTATATTTTAAAAATTACCAATTTGTAATTTTCTTGGTTATGAAACATAAAATAAGTTGGACATTTTTAATTTAGAAACCACATTTTTTGACTTACACTTAGTTTTGTATTGTTGAATCTGGGAGCCCAGGATCTGGTGGCAACTAAAGTGTCTATTTTGGGAAAATAGCCTTCTTCTATTGGTTCTCTCCAATTGATGAAGCGCTTAACACGAGGCAAATGATTACATAGCCTTTCCGTATTGTATCTAGAAATGCTCATGCTTAGTATTTAAAGTAATATCATATAAGTACAATTAAACCTGAACTAAATTATCTTATCAAGGAGATAATCTTGGGAGCGAAGTCGGAAATAAAGTCATAGTAGTTAAGTATAAAATTTGTGGTAACGACTTAGACTGAAACTTCAGTCCACATTAGATGGTATATTTTATTACTATCCTTGATTTCATCAAGAGTCAACCATATTTTCATACGAGAGAAACATTTTATTTTCATGGTGCTGCCCCACTGTATTGGGCTGCTACAGATACAGCATATTTATGAATCTGTTACGACAATATTATAAAACTCACACAAAAATGTACAGTAATATTTCAGTCTATGTAAACAAAAAAATTCATATGAAATTTTTTTTAATCCTACATTAAATTATTTTGCATTAACCTGGCCATAACTTGTTGGTGCATGTAGTAAAAGAGTTCTCCTCTCCTGTCCTTTTTCACTACTGAGTCTGGTCCTTCATAAGGATAGACCAAGTGCCAATGCCAATGATGGAGGTTTAGGCCCACATCTTCTCTGAAGTAGGCCAAGCGGTGTTCTTGGTCCAAATCAGAAGCAGTGTAATCTACGGTAATCTCTATAGGTTCCTAAAAATACACAATTCTCATTCGCAGTTTTACCAATTAACTGTTCAACTGTTCTTAAATAATGGCCAAGTAAATACCCTCTGATCGGTATCAAAACTGGTTTCTACTTTGGCTGCAGGAAAAAGACCTTTATCCAAGAACTTGTCTGGGAATACCTCTACGAGTGGAGGTATATTTAAATTCCTTGTTTCAGATCGGTGATTTAATGCCACGGAATATGCATAGTTAAATAAATAGGGGTTGAGGCGATCCCGGGTTTGTACAGCTGCTGCTGTAAAGTCATCTAAATCCTTCATCCCTGAAACATTCGATTAAATATTAATCTGATTAAATATCAGGACAATATATACATGTATATAATTATTACTGATAGATTTCAAAGTTAAAGGTATGAATGCCATACCCATATAGACTTCTATTAGCCTGGCAGCCATCCTTCGATGGGAGGGCATAAACAGTGAGAATTTGGCTTTTCTGTCCAGCTGCAAAGGGAGGCTAATGTCTGGAAGATTTATCTTCTTCACTGGTATCTTCTTCGCTCCTGCTCCTACTCTGTCTGATAGGCTTGATTTCAAAGGCTTGAAACGGTCAGTCTACCAGCCATACATACGTTAAGTAATGTTAAATTGAAAAAAAAAAAAAAAAAAAAAGAAGAAGTTTAAGGTTTTTGATAAACTTACAACAAAATCTTCAGGCATATCGAAGACTTCATTATCACCTTTAGGATAGAAGAGTGGCTCTGTTGGTCGTTCAAATAAATTCAGTAAAGTTCTATTTGCCATACTAATCTGTAAATTTTTGAAAAGAATTATTTAATCTACTTTAGTTTTAAAATAGTACAAAAGATTCAAATTAATCTTTAAAATAATTTTACAAGAAGCAAAACTTTTATGAACAATAACTAGAACTGCCTGATATGATGAATAATTTAGCAGGAATGCTATATTTCTCCATTAAATAAATATTATTTTTAAAATACGCCTTCGATATTTTAATCATCTATACCATAGATAACAAGAAAATTATTTAAGTTGAAAAACAATATATTTTATCTCATCAACTGCTCATCTGCAGACAGTCTGCTTCAAGAAAAGATTCTAAATTATGTATATGCTAACGGATATGTTTATTTTTAAAACAGTAATAAAATTTGTAGTTTGTCATAAAAGTTTTTTTTTTACTGATTAGGAAAATAAATACTATAAGATTTAAGACATGGCAGTCTGTTATAAAACACATTATTTTGTTTTAATATTACTAGTTTAATTCTTATAACAATATTTCTAATCCTACATTTACGGCTGAGGCCCCTTTGATTTATTACCAGATATAATGCACCATGGAAAATTTTTAATAAAATGCATATTAAAAAACCTCATCCAGTAATTTTAACTTCTAAAAATTTAGAAAATAATTTCTATTATGTAGTTTCAAATCCTAATACTTTTTTTGTTTTGAATTTGATTTTCATCACCCCATGAATCCAATTTGTCCCATGTTTGGTAATAAGTAGTTTTTTTATTTATTTAATTAACCATAAAAGAATTGCAAAATTGAGATTCAATTAGCCCGGGAATGGTTAATGGAAGATATCTTTTCAGCATCTCCCATTTTATTAAATCAAGTTATGAATTAAATTTATGTATTATAAATTAATATTAAAAATTTCACCTTTCAGTTTATATTGATTGTGCAAGAGAAAAGTATGATTAATTATTAACTGTAGAACAGAGAATGAAATTGAATGTTGAAGTCAAGCTTATATACTTAAGAATGGGAGGAAGTCTTGGAAACCACATCTGGCAGTTCTGTTCCTACCTCTTATTAACCACTTTGATAACAGCATCCTATGGAGCCATAATGTTTAAAGTGGACTTGATCAAAATGTATATTTCTATTATTTTAAAATATAAAGTCTTTTACTTTTTTTAAATACAGTATATTTTAATTACAAGTTATTTAAATGATATTAAGCAATTTAAATATTCAAAGGGGAGCAATACCAAAAAGGACATTGATGAGCATATCGTCACGACTTGCACCGCTTTTGAAGCAATAAGGGCCAAACTAATAAGGGAAAGTGGACTCCACATCATCACAGGACGATTTCTGTCAGATAATAAGTAAGCATAACTACCCGTTCTACGAAGCATTCGTGTACGGGTGGAAAGAATTAGTGGGGGATGATCACTTCAATCTCCGCTAACGAAGACCAAAGAACCAGAAGATAAGTGGTAGAAGTATCAATTAAACCTGTATTGCCGAGAGGCAAGGGAACAAGAAAATTTATATATATATATATATATATATGTATACACTAGCGGATCCAGGATTTAATTTTGGGGGGGGGGCTTCAGCCCGAAAGATTTTTTTTTCATAAAAATAACGATAATTACTTCGGAAAAAAAGAAAGAAACTAACTACCTATATAAAATGGTGTTTAAGTGATTCCTAAAGCCCTTTTGAATGTAATTACACGAACAATAGTACTTTGAGAGACAATTTTTTAATGTTTTTTTCGATAAAACATGGTTATATTTTCCCATTTTGGGGGGGGGGCTTCAGCCCGAAAGCCCCCCCCCCCGTAGATCCGCCCGTGTATATATATATATATATATATATATATATCAGTTCCATGATTTCGGTTTAAAAAAAATTACTACGGGTATGTGGTCCCGATTCAAAGCCGAGATTGTTTAAGCTGCTGTAGGTAGAGTAGTGTTTTTTGTAAGCGCATATGTAAGGTGTCAAGTGTACACTCTTTTCTAAAGAACGTAGGATCATTAGGTGCTATAATTTGAATACTATGCCTACTAAAGAAATATTTAGTAATTTACTACCATTTTGATTAGATTTACGACATCCCCAATAAATATGTTTAGAATTCATATCACTTATGACAAATGTTTGTTGGTTTGGCAGAAATAACGAGAATTTCTTCTTAGAGATTCCTTTTTTCTTTTTTTTTTTTTTTTTGGAGAAAAAAAATAGAAAACTATGTACAAAAGTTTTCAAATTACAGAATGCAATGAAATACCAAGTAGAAATAGTAGGTTTTTTAAAATAATAATACAATAAAAGTGCTGCAATTTAGAAAGGAGTTGCTGTTTTTTTAGAAATTCAAATACTAATGCTACTGAAGTTCCATTGTCATTAAGGACTATTACAAATTTGGGGTCAATACTATTGTATTGGGTTGGCTAATAAGTTCTTTCGTTTTTTTTAGGGTGAAATAAAACTAAATGTATTAAATGCATAAAATTTATTTTAATCTACAGTATGTTGACCATTATTTAACATGACTTTTTCCCATCTTTCCACCAACTGCATAATGCCATGTTCATAGAATGTCTGGCGTTTATTGTTAAAAAAACTGATCCAAGTGGTTCTTGATGTCCTCTTCCTTTTGGAATTTCTTTCCATTCATGGAGATCTGCAGAGGCCGGAATAAGGTAGTCGCTTGGAGCTAGGTCTGGTGAATAGGGAGGGTGGGGCGAAAGGTCCCATCCAAAGCTCAATAATTTATTGCAAGTGACCAATGAGGTGTGGGGTAGGCCTCAACGCTAGGGTGTTGTCTTGGTGGAACACAACACTCTTCCAATTTGTCAGTTCTGGGTGTTTATTTTGAATTGATTGTATCGCATTATCGTAAAATATCAATTTTTCATCTCCTGTTTCCAACTTTTTCCAAAATGGGTCGTTTTGTTGCCGTTTCCTTAGTGAATCACAAACAGAAATGCGTGTTGCCAAGTTGACTTCGGTTAAAGAGTGAGGGACCCAAAAAACATTAAGCCTGGTAACATAGCCGAGCTTGTACAAATGGTTTTCTACGCTTGTGTGAGACACATTTAGGGGCATAGTAGTCTCTTGCACTGATTGGGTGGGATGTTGGTCGTTTCAATTTCATGTGGGCGACCGACCCAGACCGTTGAGCATCATTGATGTCCAAATTTCCTGAATGAAATTTGGCAACCAGATGCATTCAGTTAAGGCATCATCCCCATAAATACTGCAAATTTTTCTATGAGCTTCTGCAGCACGCTTACTTTTTTTAAAATAATGCAACAAAATATGGGGATAATGAAATGAAAATATTTTTTTTATTATCCTGGGACTGTTGTCCCTTTAGGACAAATTACAGATACAGAATAAATGCCTGTGTGGCCATACATAAAATTAATTATTTACATTTATTATTAAGATTTAGATTTTGAAAAAATAATAAAACAAAAAATATAACTATTATACTAAAAACATACTAATATGTATAATACAAACTATATAATAAAATAAAATAGAATAAGTAAAGAAAATCATTTCTGGGGGAACTTTTAAAGTTCTCTTATCTACATTTCATGATCAATCAGGTTGGGAATGGAGTAGGTGGTTAAAAAGGAGAGATTTAAATGAGGAAACTGATTGTACATGTCGGATATCGGGAGGGATGGTATTCCAGAAGGAGACGGCTTGAATTATAAAGGATTTGTCAAACGCGGCAGTTCGGTGGGGAGGTGGATAGAGGTCGGAGGTACGAGATCTAATGAGACGGGATTGAATGGAATATTTGAATTGTAGGTTGTGAAAAATATAGGAAGGTCGCTGAGTTCTGATGACTTGGTATAGAAAAGTGGCAAGGAAGTACAAACGGCGGTTGGATGGATAGAGCCACTTCAACTTGGTGTAATACTGGGTTATATACGTATCTCTTGAGATTCCGAAAAAAAAAAACGTATTGCGTAGTTCATTAGGCGTTTAAGTTTGACCTCGAATTCTCCCAAGTGTCCGCCGTACACCAGACAGCCATAGTCGAAGTGGGGGAACACAAGGGAGGAAACCAGGAGTTGACGGGATTTATATGGAAGGAGATAGCGGAGACGGTTAAACTGTTTCAGGGTAGAGATAGTACGACGGGAAATTTGGGAGATGTGTGGTTTCCAGGAGAGGGTTTGATCGAATGTAACACCAAGGTTTTTTACGGAAGTATGGAATGAGATAGGTGAGTTGTTCAGGAAAAGATTGGGAGTATCTGTATGGATTTGAGGAGTGAGGGAGATCCGATCAGAATGGCATTCGTCTTATTGGCGTTTAGAGTAATCCTATTGTGATTTGCCCAGGTACATATTGCATTTATATCTTCCTGTAATTTTTGGATGGCGCCAGAGGATTCGGTTGGATTGAAGGAGAGGTAAATCTGGACGTCGTCGGCGTATAGATGGTATTGACAGTGAAGGATCGAGGATGAAAGGTCATTGATGTAGATGGAAAAAATGGTTGGAGATAAAGAGGAGCCATGTGGGACACCCCTGGACAAAGTTAAAGGTTCTGATGGGGGGTTATTGGGGTCTAAAACATACTGGGAGCGGTCGAAAAGGAAGGATTGGAACCAATTAAGGGTACTAGTTGAGAAGGAAATATTTTTAAGCTTGGGTAGGAGAATTTTGTGGTCTACTGAGTCAAAGGCTTTGGAGAAGTCAAGGAGAATAAGGATGGTAAGTTTCTGCTGGTCCATGGCTGTATGAAGGTCTTGGGAAATTTTGATGAGGGCAGACTGAGTGGAGTAGCCAGGCCGGAAACCGGACTGGTTGGGATTTAGGAGGTTATTCTGTTCTAGAAAATCTGATACCTGGGTTTGAACTAGTCGCTCTAAAGGTTTAGAAAGATTTGAGAGGAGAGAAATTGGACGGAAATCATTGAGAGTTGATGGGTTGGAAGTCTTTTTCATAGGGCGAACTAGTGCGGTTTTCCAGGATGTAGGAAAGGTAGCGTTTTGTAGTGAGTAATTGTAGATATGGTAGAGGATTGGAAAGGAGGATGGTTATCAGGTCCATAATCATTGGTTTGCGACTTTTTAATGGAGTTGAGGAGGTCATCAGGTGTAATATGGGGAAAAAAGAATTGATCAGGATTGAAATTTATAGGGAAACACACAGGAGTCGGCATAGCCGCGGAAGATGAGGATGAGAAGGGACAGGAGACAAAATGAGCATTAAGCATCAGCAGAAAAGGAGATGAGCTGGGTTTGAGGTGTGTTGCAATTGGTCAGTTTTTTTAGGATAGTCCACTTGGCCTTGGAGTATGGGGTGTTGGATAAGGAATGATGGAAGTAATGGGATTTGGCTCGGCGTATAGCAGACCGAGTGCTGTTTCGTAGTTGCTTGAAGGCGATATAGTCTTCCGAGAGTTGGGTACGTTTAAACCTTCGTCTTGCCGCATCTCTTCTTCTCATGCACTCTCTTAAAGCGGGCGTCAGCCAAGGAGCAGGGGAATGTTGGATGGTTTTAGTTAGGAGAGGAGCATGGCAGTCGAGGATGGTATGAAGATGGTTGGTAAAGATTTCTACCATGGCGTCAATGGATTTACAGGAATAAATGGGGTCCCACTGGGAAGCACCGAGATCCTGCGACAGGGCTTTATAGGTGAGGTAGTTGAGGTTTTTCCGAAGGATATGGTTTGAGGAGAAAAAACTGGGACTGGAATGTTGTAGGAAATCTGGATAAGATCATGGGAAGACAGAAATGGAACCGGGTGCTGAGATGCCGACAAGAGTTTATCCAGGGAATCCAAGACAAACAAATCAAGCCAGGACTCTGAGAAATGGATATGATGGGTAGGGTTGTAGATTACTATATAAAGGCTGAGTGATTCGAGGAGGCCTGTCAGGTACGAATGGTCAGAAGATGGTATCATTAAATTGGTATTGACATCTCCGGTGAGGATAATATTGGAGTAGGAAGGGATCAAGTTATAAAGGGAAGTCTCAAATGATTCATCAAACGGAATTCTTGGAGGACGATAAATGACTGCAAAGAGAAGGGGAGATGATGGGGTGAGGATTTCAGTAAAAAGATATTCCAGGTGCGGAGAATCGGTTTGGTAAGAGCACTGTAGGATTTTGAATTTAAGGCTGTCATGGACAAAGAGGCCTACTCCACCACCTGTACGATCCTCTCTGTCATGACGAAGGAGGGTATAATTGGGTAAAGCAATTTGGGAAGACGGAATAGACGGCTTTAACCAGGTTTCAGAAACTGCAATTAAATGGTAGAAGTTGTGGAGGAAAAAATCATAAAATTCATCAAAATGGGCAAGGAGTATAATGAATGATATTTTCACAGTGCAATAGCAAACACAATACTAAGCTAGTTTCAACAAGAGTTAACTGATATAGTTGTTGACATATTACAAACAGGATACACAATCCACCTTAGGGATTAATGCATCAGATAAGAAGTGTATCATAATGACATAAAAATATACAGAAAAACCGAAAGGACTCATTTGCCAACCCAATATTTATACTTGAAATGTAGTGATTACACTCCTCAAAAATATGTTTAATGGAGAGCACACAATGACAATACTTGCGTAATGGAGGCGGCTGCTTTCTAATAAGGTGTGGATTCTGTGTGACCAATCCTCAAGCTGGCCAAGGCGACTTCCTCTCTGCGGCTGCTGCAGTTGGATATAGACCATGACCTCACCACCCTTTTTTATGTTTCAACTTACTAGGAGGGCTTTCATCCCACGTCGCCTGCCATCTATCTTATATATCCATTTTGAGAGATCTACTGAGTTCTGATGGGGTGACAACAGTGTTACCTCTGCCAGGGAATGTGAGTGCCTCTCTGGCAGGCCATCAGTGAGCTCATGGTCTACAATACCAATGTGGCTCGTAATCCAAATAAAATATACCGACATTTCCTGGTCTAAGACTGTGTACGGATCTGTTTGGATTTTCATAACTGGATGTTCCAGATAAAATTGTTTTTATACTTTTTAATACGCCTAAATAATCCAACAATATGACGATAGTCATTTGAACTATTGGCTTGCAGGAATGGAGGGCTGAGGCTATCGCAACCAATTCAGCTGTGTAAATAGAGCTTAATTTATGCAGTTTTAAATTTATGTGTTGAATCACAAGTAACAAAAGAAGAAGCCGTTGAGTTTTCTGTATTGGTAAGCGAATTGAGATGACTTCAATATTTTTAAGTTTACAAAAATAATATTTTCTGAAAAGCTAACATTATTTTTTTATGATAATAGTGACTCCATCGGAAGCACTTAAACTGTCTATCGCGTCTTAGAGTTTTTTATCCTGGAATATCAAATTTATTTTTGTTAGAAAATGAGTTTTTTTTTTGTGGTTTCAAATCTCTTAATTGTAGACCTTGATGAAATTGAAGAAGATTGCGGATATCATTTCACTTCAACAGTTTAAAGCAGGAACTTACTGATCCACTAAAACACTCATTTGCTTTCAACTTTAATTTAAAGTTGCAGAGATTGGGCACATCTAGTTCTCTTTACACATTTAAAAAATTCTCATTTTAAGTCCATTAGAGCATTATAGCCTTCTCTTTTGTTTTATTAAGTGTTTCTATTAGTATTTCCCTCTCCGTTTTAGACAGTATTAAGGAGTTAGATAGAAATAGATACTAAACAAAAAACATGTTCCTCAAAGAAATATAATGTTTCCTTATGAATCTTAATGTTTAATTTAACCAATCATGCCATATTTTGTTTGAATAAAAAAGATTTTTTCTCCCTTTAAACTAAATGGATTGGAAGGGTGTTCAATAAAAAATAATAATAAATATTTATGTTTAATATCACATTTTATAATGTAGTAGTTATTAATGTGTCCATTACTTCTTTCTCCTTACTGCAGCTTCTACCATAACTTTGACTCCCTCAAATGCTTCTCTTGCTGTTGGTCTTATCAGTCTTGCTGGTAGAATAAATCCATGTAAGCCTGTATCTCTTAGCTCATAAGTGAAGGTATACTTCACTCCAACAGTTTCTTTAACCCAATCGTATGCTCCTCCTGTAATACGACATCATATTTTAAGTTATTCCTGAGTTTTTAAAATTATTTTCTTTGTATTTATCTGAAAATGTATTTTAGTTCAAATTCTAATTCATTTTAGCATATTAGTAAAGCAACTCAATTAGAGATATTTCTATTACATTAAATACAATTCAAATATATAGTAATATATTACATCTTAAGAAATTTATTTTATTTTCTGGGTAAGGGCTGCTCATGACTTTACTGTCCTTGCGTACTAAATATCTAAGGTAGGGTTGTATATAGACCAAGGAAGAGAATGTAGGCAAATGGTTGTTGAGTGTTGGATTTTGTTCCCACACATGTTTCTTGAATACAGATACTCCTATCTGGAAACATATTTTCAACAGTGCTGGGCGCCCTGACTTAACTCAGCTTTGAATTAAAAATATAAGAAGTTGACCAGAAGTTGCAAGTTGCGCCATCAAAATTTTTGAGGGGGCCATATTTTGACTGGTTTTTGAATTTTTGAGGGAGGCAAACTTCTTTGGTTATGAATTTTCGGCCTAAAGAATAAGGAGAAAACATCGAACAGACTGCAGGAAGTTTAAATTTATTTGATATACGATTTTTCTAATTTAATCTTAGCCTGCTCTGTTTTTAAGAAAAGGTGAGCAATAAAATATCTTGAGAAAAGGGAGGGGGGGTGGATTCTTGCACCATCGGCCTTGGAAGGAATGGGCAGCCCTGTTAGTCTGTGCTACTTTCATCATTTTAATTCAACAACAAATTGTTGGAATTACATCTAAATGATACCAGTCCGTTTGGCAATCCATCAGATAACAACATTTTGAAGAGATTCTCTGTTTGTTAGTCCCTAAAAATTCAAAAACAAATAATAATTACGATAAGCAGTTGCTATTCGATATATTGAATTTATAAATTAAATGGAAAAAATATACAATTTACATTTAAGAACTATTGATCACAGTTTAGTCATAATTTCATGTTTTTTTTTTTGTTTTTTTTTTCAATCAATAAATGAAAATTGAAATATTTATATTCCATTAGAACCAATTGGGTTCTACTGGTCACCTATTGCGAATTTTCAGACAGTCACTATTTATTATGCTGTGCCAACAATTAGTTAGAGGTTCCATTTTGGGTATTTGTATCGATTTTTAGAATTGAAAAAATTGTAGAGCAAGAATGTATTTTTTTTTAAATGTAGAATGTCTTTAAATAATAAATAATCGCATTTCTCCTTTAAGGTACTATGTCGCTGGTACTGCCCACGGCAGCGAATGCTATTGCGTAGCTATTTTACTGAAACTGCTCACTGGGTCGTTATAACCTTCGAACTTCGAAGATTAAAAAATGGACTTACTATCTATTATACTGCTTTTTTTTTTTATTAGAAGATGAAGAAGAAGAAATGTTGATAAGGAGGCGGAATATCAGCAATATATTCCGAACAAGAAAGCGTAAAGGGTTTTATACCAAATTGATAACTACACATTTGATGGCTGACGAAGAGAAATTTAGTAATTGTTTTAGATTGAATAAATGCCAATTAAATTTTGTTTTGAGTAGGATAGAAAATGATACAGCAATTATTACATAATTGATTAGTAATAAATATAATATATTTGTAATCAGTAGCGGATCCAGGATTTAATTTTGGGGGGAGGGCTTCAGCCCGGAAGCTTTTTTTTCATATATATAACCATAATTAGTTTAGAAAAACAGAAAGATACTAACTACCTATATGAAATGGCATTTAGGTGATTCTTGAAGTCCTATTAAATGTAATTAAACGAGCAATAATACTTTAAGACATAATTTTTTACCATAAAACATGGTTACATTTTACCATTTTGGGGAGGGGTTCAGCCCGACAGCCCCCCCGTAATGAAATCACAGCAGGCGATGTTTTATCAGTAGTAATCAGTAAATCGGCACTTTAATTAAAAAATGTAAATCGATTTTTCAATGTGTGGATTTTATTATTTACCTGACATCACTAGCGGATCCAGGATTTAATTTTGGGGGGGCTTCAGCCCAAAACCTTTTTTTTTCATAAAAATAACGATAATTACTTTGGAAAAACAGAAAGAAACTAACTAGCTATATGAAATGGTGTTTAAGTGATTCCTTAAGTCCTTTTAAATGTACTTAAACGAACAATAATACTTGAAGAGGTATTTTTTTATTTATTTTTCCAAAAAACATGGTTATATTTCACCATTTTGGGGGAGGGGGACTTCAGCCCGAAAGCCCCCCCTTCCCACCGTAGATCCGCCCGTGCCTGACATTAAAATTTGTTGAATTATTTAATTTATTTAATGCCGTTTGGATTTAGGTATATATGAATTTCGCTTTAAAATATTGTTGGTGAAATAAATAAATGAGCTCGTTACTTCAATCTTAAAAAAAATAATTTACTTTTGCGTTGTTTAAGTTTTAAACAATATTTCTTATAATTTGGCCAGAGTTGAAAGAAACCTAGGAAATAAAACGTATCAAGATGGCTGTTATCATCAAAACAATCCTTCGATATGATAACGTAATCAACAACCGCCGAACCGCCAACAGTTCCACTGCTTCAGGAGCGGTCAGATATGAGCAGCTTAGATATGACGTCGTACCTAGACTGCCGAGCCGTGCTCAACCTCAAGCTATCGCTGCCGTGGGCAGTACCAGCGAAATAGTACCTTTACATTGAAGCTGCCCTCATTTATAAAAAATTCTCTAGGGAGGAGTGAGAATATTCTGAAGTGTAGTATTTTGCTCAGTGGAATACGGTCAATTTCATGAAACACTAATCGAATCCTTACCTGCAGCTGGATAAAGGACATCTCCAGGGGTGCCAACGTTGTATACTTCTCCATCCGACTTCCGAATAGCCAATGCAGCATTTTTACCAATCATTTCAAGCTCCTTGTAGTCCTTAGGATATGCTTTGTAACCATAAGCATATGGGAGAAGAATAAGTTGGCTGTAGCTGTGGAATGCTATGTAAGCCTGCAAATATCAGGGGTTTTTAAAACATTGTAAAATATTTCATAATATAATAATATTTATTATTATTAAAGAATAAATTATAATTATTCGCACAATCATTTTGTTGAATATATATTTAACATTAAAGATTTAAAAATTTATTGCAATTCCTGTATATAATCAACTAACCTTTTTTTGTTTTTTCCTACGGAAAAGCTATAGAATACCGCAGGCGGATGTTGTATTTTTTTTTATCGAGCTCATATCAATTTATTCTAATTGAAATAAATATATAATAATAAAAAAATATGTAATAATTAACTTTTTTTAGACACATAAATGTATTTCCCTATTATACAGGGTGTCCCACAAAGTAGAGAGAAATTTTTAAATGGATGATAGTTGACATCAAGAGCTACAAAAAAGTTCATATAAACAATGGGCCAATTATTTTCAGTAGAAAAGTTGAAAATTTAAGTATAAAATAAAGAAACTTGCTTCAATTATTTTCCTAAAAATATAATTATTAGGATTAAAAACATTTAGTTGGTCACTTGTAAATATAAGGATCAATTATTTTCACATGCGGATCTACGAGGAGGGGGGAAGGGCTTTCGGGCTGAAGCCCTCCCTCTCCCCCAAAAAACGGTAAAATGTAACCATACATTTATTTTTTTATAGAAAAAAATATTAAAAACTATCTCTTAAATTATTATTGTTCGTGTAATTACATTTAATAGGACTTCAAGAACCACTTAAACACCATTTCATGTTGGTAGTTAATTTCTTTTTCTTTTTTTTCAAATTGTTATAGTTGTATATATGAGACAACAAATCTTTCGGGCTGAAGCCCTCCCCTCTCCCCACAAATAATTAAATCCTGGATCCCCTAGTGATTCTTGTAATAGAGATCTCAGTAAAAGACACATTTTTTTATTATCAATTTTTTTTTCTATGTCATTTCTTATGACAGGTGTGGGTGAATAAACAAAGTTAAAAAAAAATTTATCATTTTAGGTGATTAATAATAGAAAAATTATACTTTTTAATATTTTTTGTAGATACAAAAAGTATGTTTATGCATTTATACTTATTATTTACATCCCAAGAAATCGAGAAAAAAAAAAATTAAAGCTTTGCAATAATTTATTGTAGTGGTTTTTTATGAAAATCCGACTACTTTTAGGCGATAGGATATAATATACTATATACACATCACATAATATTTATACACAATTTTAGTTGAATCTCAAGTTTTTCCCTAATGAACCTTAAATTAATTAATATTGTCTTAAAACTTATTAAATGAAGAAGTTCTTCAAAAAGTGGTGTATCTATAGGATAGTTGGAGAATGATTGAAAAAAATCGCGATTAATTTATGATTTTATTAAAAACACAATGTAGCTTAGTCCACTTTAAATGGTTTTCCCGATGATAAATTCCACTTTCATTTGAAGTAAACTTTGTCTAGTTTACTGTGAAGCAAGTCGAAATTACTTAAATTAAGTATTTTTGCTTTATTATTTTCAATACCGAACCGTTTTGATCGAACAAAAAAATCAAAAACTTAACCCCTCTCAAAATTTGAGGTTTTACGTTTCAGAATACGTAGAATTCGAAAAACGAATACAATTTTTATCGTCCGTCCGCCGTCCGCGCATTTTCTCCGAAACTACTGGACCGATTTATTTCAAATTTGGATTTAAAATTAGAGGTCACCCGAGGATGATCCTCCTTCATCGACAATTCTATCCGCCTTTTCCATTCAAAATGGCGACGGAAAAACCTGCGTTATTATAGACTGTAACACCTAAACGAATGTACCGATTTCAACGAAACTTCGCTAAAGTCTTCTTGATGGTCTTTAAATTTATCTATATAACCTACTTCAACGAAAAGAAGCTAGAAAAAAAGTCACGACGGGTGGTAAAATTAGATTGCGAATAACTCAAAAAGTATACACTTTTTTGTAGATATTATTGTATATGGTTACTTAAAAGTTTATGGAATTTTCTAAAAAAAAACAATAAAAAAAGTTAAATTGGGCAATTAGGAACTAAGGTATGGTCTCTAGATGTTTGGAATCACCTTTTATATTACTCTTTTTTTGTCACTAGGAAGGTAATGTTACTTTAGATGTATAATTGTTTGGAAATAATAAACCATTGTGAAATAATTTGCAGCATTTTTTTAGTTATAGCTTCTACAAAAACGTGAGCAGTCCAAAAACACACAAAACCTAAATTGAATACTCCCCTGCTGAAATTGGCCGATTGTTTATATGAACTTTTTTCTAGCTCCTATGTCTACTCTCATCATCCTTTTAAAAACAACTTTTTAACTTAAAAGCTTAAATGCCGAATTTTCTTCTTATAAAGTACCTTTAATTTTGTTTATTTAAAATAATTAACCTTCTTACACTTTTACTAGTAATAAAAATAGATTAATATAAACTATGGACGAATTTCTTAACTAAAGGAGAAATAACGGTTTGTCCTACATAGAAACTGTTAAATTGGAAACAACCGAGGATGTCCGACTTTTCTCGAACCATTTAAACTACTCATGTCTCTACACGGCTTTTCTATTGTTAGTTTAACTGTTCCGTATTTCGCTAACATATAATTTTCAACAAATATTTTCGTTCGTGATGTTGAACCTTTGTATTTATTTACTGTTAATAAATGTATATATTTTTTTTTTCAGGAAATTCCGTAAACTTTTAAATAACCATATACAATATCTACAAAAAAGTGTATACTTTTTAAGTTATTCGGAATCTAATTTAACCATCCCTCGTAACTTTTTTCCAGCTTCTTTTCGTTGAAGTAGGTTATATAGATAAATTTAAAGGGCATTGAGAAGGCTTTAGCGAGGTCTCATTGAAATCGGTACATTTACTGTAATTAATTGTTTTGAATGAATATTCTGTCGTCTATAATATTTCACTTCTCTACACATGATAATACCTATTTCTACTCAAGGTAGAGTGATAAATGGTAGTTGTGTGTTGGGTACACTGCACAATTTAAAAAAAAAAAAACCTGTTTTTTAATTTTTAAGCTTCTCCGGATTATCACATCAATTACTTTTAGTTTTATCATAGGTGAAAAGATAATTATCAAAATCTTAAATATCAACCATAATCTGAAATTTTAAATAATTACTTAAATGGACCAATTTTTAAAGTTCTTTCCTGATTGTCTGAAATTATTAATATCTGAAATTATTATTCTTATTCGCAGAGGCAACGAATATATTTTATTCTTCTGTTGGCTGGTAATCATAACATGCGGATATAGTCGAATTTTGTAATGGAAATAACAAGTTTTGGTTAGGAAAACATTTTTCTTTCTTAGTATTTTACTTGAATTCCTGTATCGCTGTCATTCAATTTCTGACGCGTCTCAGTCTGTTTGCGAAAGATATAGTTGTAGGGATAGCGAAATAAGATACTATAATACATTGATAATCTTGTCTCGACCATATTTTGTTATTCTGATTGATAAAAACTACATTACATTTTATAAACAGTCTATCTGTACTTACACTGAGTTTCTGCTTTAGACCGAGTATGTATTTGGAAACTGCCTTGGTTTCAGGTTCAGAAAATGCTTGAGGTCCTCTGTAAGTTTCATCACAGCTGTAATCACTCGTTCCTTCTCCTCCGAAATGGGCGTCGAAGTTTCTGTTGAGGTCGGTTCCTATGCAACGACCAGAATTCTTGGATCTGTTCTTCCTCCAAAGACGGTTAGTGGTGTGCGTGTATTCGTATCCGTCAGGATTAAAGACTGGAAGGATATAGAAGTCGAGGTTGGCCATGTAGGAAGGGAGTCTGGATCTGTTTTCAACCAGCTCGTTGAGGATATAGACCACCGTGGCGGTACTCACCCATTCCCTGGCGTGGATACCTGGATGCATAAAAGAATGTTTAGGTCATATGAGTGGTTTTGATAAATTAACTATAGTAAAACAATAAACATGATTAATTGATAAAATGCCAATCCAAAGCTCCAAATTGTAATAAACAGAAAGTTATATAAGGTTAACTCCATATGTCTAAATACCACAGACCCAGGGGTGCCCAGAAAGGGGTTTCATGGAGCAAGATGCGCCATCAGAATTTTTGAGGGGAGCACATTTCGACGGGGATTGGAATTTTTGAGGGGGGTATATTTCAAGGGAATTATGAACATTCGAAATGAAATGTTTCAAACCAAAAGACAAAGGCAAGCATGGTACTGTCTGCTGGATGTTTAATTATATAATCACGATTTTCTTAAATACCACTTTCACTTGTACTGTTTTTAAGAAGAGGAGAGCAACCAAATATTTTGGAAGGGGTGAGGGAAGGTTTATGCGCCATCGACCTTGGGGGAGATGGCCACCCCTACATAGACCCAGCTTATTTTCAATGGAATCAGCTTGCATGGTGTGTATATATATATATATATATATATATATATATATATATATTACATAAATATTGAAATTTTAGAGTGTTTGTCTGGTAATTATTGTAAAATTCGAAAACGTTAAGCAATTTCTTATCGTTTTAGTATTACATGAATTCCGTCGCTTGTTCAGATTAAATCGTAAGTTCAACAATCATAATTTGAGTATTAAAAAGTATATGATGTTGAATTTGGAAAAAACGAATGAAGAATAACTTGCCAAAATGGCTTAACATACTTACATTTTTAATGCTGTTCAGATTCTTATTAATAGTCTTATAAAATATATTTAAAGAAAGGGATTAGTATTCATGAAGCAGTTGCGCAGTAACTTACCTCCATCTATAAAGACTGCTTTGGCTCCTGGTTTGCCTGAAGAGATTTTTGCAACTTTGATGGGCCTCCTTTCGTAACTGTAACCAATAGTTTCCACAGAAACAAGTTGGGGGTACTTCTTTGATAAATAATCCATCCAGTTATAAATCTCACCAAGTCTGTGATAATTGTCCAAATTGAAACCTTTCATGAGACATTAAAAATTTATTTTATTTTAATTGAAAACAAAATCAATAGTGACATGATATTCATTCAATGACACATAAATTACTTCGCTACAGTGATTTAATTTTACATGTGTATATTTATTATCATTATCTTTAGTTTCCACATATACAATGGTGTTTATAATATGTTATAGTTGGGGATTATTATTATTATGGTATGGTATGATGAAAAAGTTTATATATGTGTAAATAATAAATAGAAATCATAGTAAAATTTTATTTTGTATTTGTTAATATTATTATACTTTGGGCTGGCCATGTGGCCAGAATGCCAGAAGAGGAAGTCCTAAGGAAGCTTGATGCGAAGCTCTGCAGGACAAGAAGGAAGGGCAGACCTCGGCTAAGATGGGAGGACGCCGTCATCCGGGACGCCAGAGAAATATTGCATACCCGCAACTGGCGAGCGACTGCGCAAGATAGAGCCATCTGAGGGGGCTCCTTGAGGCGGCCAAGGACCACAGCGGTCTGTAGCGCCATGGAGTTAGTTAATATTATTAGATTAAGCGGAAACTAGCATCGGGCAAAAAGCATATGGATAGATAAAATCAACAAAGATACAATAGAACTGCATACATATAACTGGAAAGAAATAGCCCAAGATAGACAGAGATGGAGCAGACTTGAAAAGCCGACAAAGCATCCACAACGTATATAATGCCAATAGAAAGAGAGAGAGAGAGAGAGAGAGAAAATAAAGATGTTAAGAGTCTATTATCTTCTTCCATCTCTCAGAAAGCATCATATACCCTATTTCCAAAACTGTTGGGACGTACTTGTAAAAGATTCATCGAGGTGCGTTTTTATTTCGCTTTCGGATTTCTGACATTTATCACGGAGAGAATGTTTTAACGAAATAAACAAGTAATTATCGGATGGGACAAGGTTTAGAAGTATGAGGAACTTTCTACCTCATCTTCCGTACTCTCCAGACCTTGCGCCATCCAGTGATTACTTGTTTCTTTCGATAAAAAATTACCTTCATGATAAATGTCACAAATCCGAAAGCGAAATAAAAAGGCATCTCGATGAGTAGTTTGCAAGTAAGTCTCGACAATTTGGTAAAAGGGTATAATAGGTTTCTTGAGAGATTGGAGAAGTCAATAGAGCAGAACGGTCCATTTATAACTCAGTTTAAATCAAACTTAAACAGCAAATAAAGAAAAAAGAAAGGAACTTATGAGACACCCTAAAATTTTCACATACAAAAAACCTTAATTAAATTTTGTACTAAAAGTTACATACAATAAAAATAAATTTTAAGTAGTGATGTTCAAGGTATATTAGCAATTGGCGAGGAGAACTGTAGTGTTTCTAACAACTATTGCATTATGCGATGATGCCTGAGGACCGAATTCCCTGTATGGTGGAAATATTCCTTTTTTTTTTCACCATTCCAGTCTCGCCTCTTCGAAGATTTTCTGTGCCTGGAGAGAGGGGAGGGGGGAGAGTTAATGCCAGAGATAAAACGCTCCACGATAAAACACCAAGAAGTTTTTAAAAAATCATAAATTACTAGCGCCAGTGGCAATGCACTTTAATAGTATTTGGTATGCAGAGTACTCTCTCTGTTTATTAAATTCACTACATAAAATAGAAAGTATTGAAAATAAGTTCCATAAATATTCTGTATTAGTATTTTTGACTAAGTTTTTATATTTATTTATGAAAACTTTAATAATTAATTCATACCTGCCCTTCCTCTTCTCATCTGTATAGAGAATTGCTCTTTATCGATAAGTTTTTGGACGTCATTGATAAGAACGGAGTAGGGTAACTTCTTCCTGTTCAGGTATCTCTTAACTGATCCCAACTTGCGCCTAGGAACTAGAAGTTCAGTGTTGGTGTGATTTTGGGACCACACATCTAATCCTGAAAATTTCAAAAGGAGAACATGGTAGTAGATTATTTTGCTCATAAGTACTTTTTATACTTACTAACAATTATTTCTGCTTAGCTCCATGCTGTTTTATAAGCTTAATATCTACTAGCTGTTTTGTAAAAACTTGGACAACATATTACAATGCTCTATAGTTTATAAAATGTGTCATTCCCAAAACGTACCATGAACAAAAGTTATGTTTTTAGAACAGCATTTATTTTAAGTGTAAAGTATACCGAGCCATTCAGTTCCTAATAGTCAAACTTTGGAAGACGATTATAGACAACATTTCAAACAAATAATCTGATGCACGCAACACAGAGCTTTCATTTCCCGCTCTACTTTGCAAATCATTAATACCATTAAAATAACGAAAATCCTATTTATTATATCAACGGCTGATTATGGATTGTATGATACGATGAGCTTGTCATACATAGGGCAAAAGTTGCCACACTAATTGTTAGTGAATACTGTTGGGATAACACAAAGATAAAAATCACCAAACTATTCACTAATATAATTTTCTAAAAGTTTACACGATTATTTTTCGGAATAAACGGACGATTGATGCCCAATTACTTAAATATAATATCAGATCTAGAGTTATTAAACTATAGTAAATGTATTTAAGTTTATAAACATAACCATGAAATAGTTTTATATTTCACTTATTCTTTCACACAAGTACAATGAAATGGTATTTTAAACAATGTTATTGCCTTGATTCGGATGATTTTAAATACTTCTTTTCAAACTTAAAAAAAAAATTAAAAAGTTTGCATTTAGTAAGAAACCCTCATTTAATTTCCTTGAAAACATTTAATTTACGTTAAATATTGTTAGTTTTTAAAAATTATTATTAATATTTTTTTCGATAAATCTACAACTTTATTTATTACATATATTATTTTTTCTAAAATTCTCCGCGTATATATATATATATATATATATATATTATATATTATATATATATATATATACATATATATATAAATTTTAATTTTTAAATCGTTGTTAAATATTAAATAATATTAAATATTAAATAATATCAACGATAGCATTTATGAAAATCGTACATATACATGAACATAATATTGTCGGAGTACGTGTTATATGAAGCTCATGTTACATATGGAAGCCTGTTGGAAACTTTCGGATGTGCTCGGGCAAGCTCTTCTTCCTTTGATACCTCTATTACAACTACATTATATTGATTCCTATTACAACTACTATACGGATGATCGTAATTATTTAAAAAAAAAAAATAAATAAATAAAGGTACTTTAGAGGAAGCCAATATTGAAAATTAGCTATTTGAGCCATGATAGGGAACATCAATGAGAATAAAACCAGTATATCAGTGCATTAATAAGAAAATTGTAATATAATGTAGGTTTCATTGTACTTGATGTGCCCTATCAGGGCTTAAATGGCTAATTTTCAATATTGGCTCTCTCTAAAGTACCTTTATTTATTTATTTTTTAAATAATTAATCACTTCACATTAATGTTTTATATAAAAAATAGTTAAATATGAAATATGAAAGAATTTGATAATTAACTAAAGGAGATATAATATATCGTACCGTTACGATCCGTATACGATTATCCGTATAATAGTTGTAATAGGAATACGAGCTTGCCCGAGCTCACTTTATCTCGCCCGAAAGATTCCAACAGGCTTCGATATGTAGCATGAGCTTCATATAACACGGACTCCGACAATATTATGTTCATGTACATATGAGGTATTCATAAATGCTATCGTTGATGTTATTTAATATTTAATTGTATGAAATACAATGATTTAAAAATTAAAATTTATATATATATAGCGCTATTTTTAAAATACCCGCATTGAATTTTAATTAAATATAGTGTCAATAATTTTTACTTTCACTTCCCCTTTGCCTGAAATTACTTAATTCTGCCAAGAAGTGGGTGGTAAGTGAAAGTTGTGTGATTCGCGTACCTCACCAGATTTTTTGTTGGAACGTTTGTCTAGAATCACTTTCCAGAGTTAAGCTATTAAGAACTGAATTACTCTGAATATGACGTGTAAGAGTTGAAAATGACTAAACTGCATAAACGATATGTGAGATGACTGGATATAACTCAAGTTACAATTTTCTGCATCACCAAGACTCAAGCAATGATCGCAAATGCTATTGAAGGCTGGATTTTTGTGGAAGCAAGTTTGAAAGTAGAAGAATATATTACATGATAAAAGCTTTTTCTAATAATAAAAAAAATACGAAGCATTTAATTTTTGTATTGGATAAAGAAAAAACATCCTCCGCATTTTCAGGTTTTAAAATTAAAATAAGTATAAATCACACTCAAATTTATACGTCTTGACCTGCTTTTTAGTCATTATCAGTAGTGTTGCCCAAATGCGAGACCAAGGTGAGTTTGCGTCTAGGTCTTGGTCTTGCGCAAGAGTCTCGCAACTCAGTCTTGCAGTTACCTATTACCTTGTTACTATAGAGATATTACTGTAATTTTTCAGATAGGGGAAAGTTAACTGAGTCCAAACGAAAAATTGAAAGAATAAATGCAAAGGTATATTGGTTATATCAATTCTTAACATATAGTAACTAAACTTGTCAAGTTTAAGTAACTATTTTGCCTTAATTTTTATTCAAAAGTGTTTTTTTTTAACAGTCTTGGTCTTGGTCTTGCAAACTGCAAGACCAAGACCGATTTTGGGCAACACTAATTATCAGGAATTGGTTGAAATTTTGTACTTTACATTGAATTAATTTCTCATTGTAATAAATAATTAATTGGTTAGTGGTTAGCGCCCTTATCCACTGATCCTCAAAAGTGGCATAATGTACCGATTGTGCAAATATAATATATTTAAAAAACACTGTATGTATTTAATAAGGCATATTATACAGTGCGTTTCAGGGTTCAGTGGCCAAACTGCAAAAATGAACTAAGGAAATCAAAGCAAAAAAAAATTCCTCTGAAGGTATGTCCGAAAACGCTTTGTTTATTAGATATTCACACCTATAGATTTTCGTTGTTATGAATTATTCAAGTTATATGAAATAAATAAAACCTATTTATTTGTTCTGGGTACTTTTTAAATTAAATGTGAACACTTACATTCACATTAAATGTTGTTCAAAGTGAAGTTATGTCCGCAAACGCTTTGTTTAGGAGATGGATTAGATAGAATACTAATATGGCCTTTTATCCGTTACTGTATCAGAACTATTGGCAACATAAGGATTAATACTATTTGGGATTAGCATTGGGAACTCTCAATAACATTTATCAGTTTGTATGAGGCTTTCGCAGAGTACTCATAATTATGTTTTCCATTTATACTAATATGGTGAATATGCCGATATGGTGTTTGTATACGGTTTTTGTAATGCTAATACTAATGCTGCCCGTCGCGAATATGCCAGGCGATTTCCGAATAGTAGATAACCAAACAAGTCTATCTTTAACTCCACCTTTCAAAGTCTTAGAGAAACTGGTACATTTGCTATAATACCACGTGCTCATGGTATTTTATGATGATGCGTTATCCTGGTGAGCAATGTGTCCCTCCAGCCGATTATTTGTGTGTCTGGCATACTAATTTATATTTGTCTATATCTGTTTTCAGATCTCTTCCATTTCCAGGTTGGAACAAGCTCCTGAAATTCCAGATTGTCAATTTTATTTGTCTGTGACCCATGTCTATGACATTTACCATTTAATCCATTTCTTTACAAGGCTTTGTGTGATTTTTCTTTTAAAAAGTAGGATTTTTACGGAACAGGGGCTGTGCCCAATCTCCAACCTATATTATTACGACGTATTACGATTTTCTGTGAGGGTTTCCAGTTTTAGGTGCTGGAAGTTTGCCTGTGTCCTCTCCTGTCTGCCAATGTATACTGGGTGTGCATAGCTCAGCAATCCTACGAGAAAGAAGTCAAAAGTCCAGTCTTGAAAGGTAGATAAGGTAGAGCTTTTAGGACGATAAATTGCTCAATTATTATGTCCGGTCCTCATAAGATCTAGAGATTGGCAAACTTTGTCTATTTAATTAGGTACTAAAAACTCGTAAATATCCATTAGCATTCCACTTGGATCGTAAGATAATTTGAGCACAAAATCGAGAAAAAAGGTGGCCTTCAAAAATATTGAGCAGTTAGGCGTGACCTACACTCTCAAAATAACGAGGTTATATAGGCCGAACGGCCCAATATTTTTGTAGGCCACCTTTTTTCTCAATTTTGTGGCCAAATTATCTTATCCTATGATCCAAGTGGAAAGAAAATGGGTATTAACGAGCTTTTAGTACCTAATTAAATTGACAATGTACGCCAATATCCAGATTGAAAACACCCAATTCCAAGTGTTTTCATAAATAAATTAGTTGTAAGTTACGATGAGATGAAGCTATTCACTAAGTTTCTGATGGATGTTAATAAAAAGGGGTTTGTACCAATGACTATACTTGTTTTAAAAGCAAGAAGAAAGAGATAATACTATTTCTTATTGTGCATTACCTTTACATGAATTTTATTGACAAATTTAAAGCTGTTTTCGTAAATTTGCTATTGCTAAATAGCCAATCATTTTGCCCCTTCACTGTCAACAACAGCCCAAATCACTTTGAAAAATGTTTAATATGAATTTAATGTATATGTTAAATTAATAAAGTAGTTGGCACAAATAAATAAGATTTATTTACTTAATATAAAATAAATGATTCATAACAATGTAAATCTTTAGGTGTGAATATCTCCTAAACAAAGCTTTTGCGGACATACCATTTTTTTCTTATTTTGAGGTCCTTAATTCATATCTTCAGTTTGCCCACTTAACACTGAAACACCATGTATAGAAAAAAATATCACACACCAAGTTTTCCATCATATTGAAGGAACTAACATAAAAGAAAATAAAAATGTATGATTTATACAGATTTTAATTTCGAACCCACCGCAGGCAACTATAAGGTTTTTAAATTCAAATGTATACATTAAATACGGACTTAAAAAAACTTGCGGACATGCCTCAGTTAGACGTTTCATTAACGTTTATATTGCTATTTAACATAAAGTGATAGTCAATCTAATTAAATTAATACACAAACAAACGTCACTAATAAATGAGTTTACTCAACTCTTTTCAATATTGATTGTTAAACAGCCCCGAGGCAAGATAACAAAAAGATAATCAAATATGCATATAGATATTTACATAAATGAGATGCTGAAACAATTTTTTGCGTTGCGCGTATCATACAACTTTCACTTATCACTCTACTTTCAGTAAACGTATTTTCATACATAAGTAAGTGAAAGTAAAAATTAGAGAACGTAAAATATATTGATTTAAAACAATTAACTGCCATACTTTTTTCGTACCCATCTAATTAATCTGTCAAATATATGCGTTTGTCATCACTGTCTATTTATCTATTTTTTTAAGTGACAAGTTCTTTAGGCGCACTTGGTAATTTATTTTGTGGGTATTGTATGAGACCAATCCGGCTGTTGTTGTTGTTGACTATCCCGGTGAGCTCTATGTAACGCTCATTCGAGTTAAGTCGGCTCGATTCGACTAATTTTTGCATTTAAATTTTGTACTTTCATTAACCTATATAAAATATAGAGTAGGGGAAAGTATTTCGATCGTGAAAATTTTCGAATCCAAATTTTAAACGGAAATACACCTTTTGAAGTCTCCTGAGTTCACAGGCTGATCTACGAGGAGGGAAGGAGAAGAAGGCTTTCGGGCTCTTCCTCCCCCTCTTTCCCCTCCCCCCCAAAAATGGTGAAATATAACCATGTTTTATGGAGAAAAATATTAAAAAATCATCTCTCAAAGAATTATTGTTCGTATAATTACATTTAATCCAAAATCACTTAAATACCATTTCATACAGATAGTTAATTTCTTTATTTTTTCCAAAGTAATTATCGTTATATATATGAAAAAAAAAGTTTTCGGGCTGAAGCTCCCTCCCAAAATCAAATCCTGGACCCGCTAGTGCCTGAGTTCAAATAACAAAGTCTTCCAAAACGGCCTGTTTGTATGATAACAGTCTAGCTCAAAAACGAAAAGTGGTGCGAAACTGAAATTTCGTATCTAAGGTTTGTTTATGACTGGAATATTACTGCAACTTTTTTTTTAAAATCAAAATCGGCAACCGAAAGAGACAATTTATATCTTCGATTTAACACATTTTTACAATTTTGTTGAAAATGGCTCTAAGCGATTTTGATAAATGCCCGATTTTCAAAATTTCTTGCTCTAAAGTACCTTTAATTTGTTCTATTTTAAATAATTAATTGTCTCTCATTGTTAGTAATAAAAAAAAAGGCAAAATATAAATTATGAAAGAATTTGATAATTTATTAACCGACAAAAAAAGAAGTGTTTATTTAGTTCGAAAATGAATCATGGGAAATAATAGTCAGAAGATATATGTATAATATATCGGTGGAAAGCTGAGAATTTTGGCGAAAAAAAAACATATAATGCCGTAGAAGGTAATGGAAAGTGATGAAAATATTATGAATAGTAGTATCCTAAAGAAATTTGAACTTTGAAAATTATTTTCAAGTCTGAAAAAAAAATATATGTATGAAATAAACAGCAAATAAAGGCAGTCTTGTTTTTAAAATAACTGTTACACTGTACTTGTGTGAAATAAGAAGATGAATATAAAAATATTTCATGGATGTGTAAAAGATATGTTACTATATAACATACTGTACATACATTTACTGTAGTTTAATAACTCTACTAGATCCCATATCATATTTAATTAATTATGTATCTATCGCCGGTTTATTTCGACAGTTCATTATGTTACATTTTAGACAATTAAATTAGTGAATAATTTGATGAATTTTCCCTTTGTAGAAAACACAATATTATCCACTTAAATTAATATGACAACATTTGACCTATCGATAGTAGGCAATGAAAATTTCTACAGTCAATTTTAGTAAATTTTACAATGGAAAACAAAAGTTTAATAACGAATAGTAGTACGATCCATAATCATATATAGGTTAAATATTTAGATAAACAACGTATAAAATTTAATTATACATCTCAGAGACTGGAGTTATTTGGTTTTCAAAAAAAGATGGAGTATCCAGGGTTTTATTCCCTGCGTTGATATAATTAATGGGGTTTTTGTTATTTTAATGGTCTCAATGATTTGTCAGCTCTAAACTTTGAGCTGTGGCTCCGTTGAAAATGCACTTCAAAAATTTTGTAATAGCCCAACATTGCCAGAAAATAAATTCTATTTAAAGTAGAGCGGTTAGTGAAAGTCCTGTGATGCGCGCACCATATTTTTTTTTCATATATATATATTGCTTAACATATTTTTACGTTTTTTAAAAATTCGTTTAATTTTATAAGGTACCAATGAGCTCCTTGTCAATTAATATATTGTTAGTCTCAGTTTTCAATAATTACGTTTCGGGAGCCTAGTGGATCTATGCCGACACATTGCCTATCAAAACTCAGAGAAAACATAATATTTCATTTATGTCACAGTCTATCCCTCGAACGCATACTCGTAATTTTGCTAATAAATAGTTTCATACGGACATTAATAAATTTTCAATCCCATTTCATTGATTACTGGGTGCCGTATCCCGCAATTCCGCCTTGTGCAGACATCTTGCATGGGCTTATAATAACTAAAAACTGTTTTTCTTTTTTGTCTCTGCTGTAAGTTACGAATTTCGCTCTATGATGTTTAAACCTTCCCTTTCTCCCTCCCCACTCAATATATATTATTTTGACTTTTAACTTTATCAAGATAATGCTGATTAGTGTATCTTCAACTCATAAGCTGATAAATGTAAGTTAAAAAGTTGACTCACGTGCTTTATGAGCAAGCTCACGAAGTTGGTTAAGATCTTCGTGGAACACACTAAGGACCTCAGACCCATCGAACCTGGTCTTGGCAGATGCCAAGCACACTAATAGAACTAGCACCGATACCTCTTTCCAAGCCATGGTAACAAAGTAACGTTAATGTTAATGCGACGACTATTTATAGATGACTTTTCCACCTGGATCAATAGTCTATCTTTTTAAAATTCTTTGTGGTTGATTACTTTCAATTAAGTCGTTAAACAGAATAAATTGCCACTTGCAAAATTAACCAATATTTTACAATAGCTTATTCGTTAATATTGCACCGAAAAAAATTAAATTAGACATTTATATCTAACTATTTCTATTCTTCAGCACCACTTATTCATATGATTCTATCCTTCTTCAAAAATAAGTATAAAAGTAGATAAAATAATAATCCTCCACATCAATTCAACTGTTATTATAAGATCCTCTTAAAAAAAAAATAAGAAGAAGAAAATTTCTTTTTTTATGTATATATACTTTTATTTGTTCATTTATACCAAATAAAAAATTCTTGAATTATACTTTCTTCCTTTTTAACTAAGCCTAGCAGTCTCGGAGAAAGGTTGCGGAAAGAGGTGTATGAAACCTATATTCGGCCGCTATTTCGAAACAAAATGGTAGGTAATATCAAGTTCTAAATAGTAATGTGTGACTTTGGTGCCTGGAATAAATCTTCCTATTAGTCTCGGAGAAAAGCTGTGGACATTCCACAATAAAACAATGTTATTTTTTATTTTCGGTTGGGTCTATGGACCATGAAGACTATCTATAGATCTTTGGCCGCGAGATGTGGTCTCCATACAGACGTATGTATGTTGCTGGCGGGAGCACTTAGCCTGGAGAGTATCATCCAACCTCGCATTGAAACGAACCGTGGTCTCCATAGTGCAGTGGCAGGACACCCATAGCCTACATAGCCGATCCCTTTGGGGCCAATCTGGCAGTGTCCTTCTCACCGACTCACTCGAGTTCATGAACAGTGACAGATCGCTCTAGATCGATGGGTTACGGCTACCCAGAGTCAGCAGCTACTAAAAGGGACTTGAAATTTCTGTCATCATCCTATGAAATATTATTAAATCATCAAAAGTAGTCTGACCATAACTTATGAAATGAAAAAGACAATAACAACAATAATGCAAGTAATTAGTTATTTGTAGTTAGACAAATGATATAAATCTCAAACCATTCTAAATTAAACTAGAGACCTATTGAACTAGAAAGAAAGAGAGAGGTTTCAATCTTCTGAACTAGCTATTTCATCGAACTTGAGAACTAAATTAGTTCCTTTAGGTCTTGGTATTCCTAGATGAACTGTCAACTAGCTAGTTCAAATGAACTACAACTGACGCCATCTATTTTAACACGGACGGTAGATAGTAATAACAATCTGAATAATTATTGACTTCTGATCGATATTATTTAATAAAATTCATAATTAATTACCTATTTTTGGTGTATGATTAGAATTTAAAAAACGAAACATTTTTGTCTTCATCCTTTGAAATATTAATATGTTTCAAAAATAGTCTGTCCATGACTTCTGTTTTAGTATTTTAACTTACCTAATATTAAAAATAGGATAATCAAAAACTATTTTCAAGGAAATCAAAATCTTTTTTTAATAACTATGTCAGCATATGGACCCTAGGGGTGGCCTTCTCTTTAAATTTCCTAAAGAAAATAGCTACAATTTCTCTAATCTTATTTTTGTGGTAGTTCACGGAAACTATAGTTCGCAAAAAAACTATAGTTCACCAAAATAAAATCGGTCCTCACAGTTTCTTTTCGTTCATTTGAACTAGTTCGTTCACGAACTAACCATCACTAATAAATGATTTTAATGTGTTTTGTGATCCGAGGGTGGAGTATCTTGTTAAAAAAATGAGTAACCTATTTTATATGAATTATAACTAATTATTTCGCCAAATTATAAAACCTTATTATTTTCCTCAGTCTTACTCCAGATGATCCTCTTCTATTTCTTGTCAATTGAGGACTTGATTGTTGACAAACCAGAGAAAAAGATCTTCGCAAAGGCTGAGGAAGGTCTAATGACCGAAGTCGGTCGGTAAAAAAATTATAAAAAAATATACATGAAGAAGTATATGGTGAGAAAGCTTGCCACCATTATAACCTTTAACGGAATGTTTTAAACCCCTCAGGTCCAAATACCCAAGTCCCGGGAAATGTTCCATGGTGTATGTGAACAGCAAAGTTATAAAAAAAAAAAAAAAATCCACGAAGGGAACTGGGTTCAGTACATTGAAACCGAAGTAGCCAAGCTAAAAAGGAAAAATCGTAAACAATTGAAATTATATTTTTAAGGTAAAGTACTAATGCGTGGAGGAGCAGGACCAACAAGAAACTGGATACAGAAACCGGTCAGTCAGTATCTCATTATATGAAGGTAATAGGGGTGGGGCATTTAGCTCGGCACAATGCATAAGGAAGCCCCTGCACAAATTACTCAAGGGTAAGCAGTATACCATCTGGGAGACCAAAAACAAAGGGATAGAATGGATCAAACAAGTTAAAGATGCTTTAGAGCAGGAATTCGAGACGTGAGGCTTTGGAGCTGAAGCTCCTCTATTTCTGCAAGACTATTAAATGCTTTTTCGATATTCAGGGAAATCGTTGAGCAGTATTTTTTTTCCTCGAAGGCAAATGAGATAGGATAGTGTCCACTACACGAAGGCACTGTTGTAAACTGGAATGGTACGAACGAAAGCCGTATTGGTGGTTCGGTATAACTTCCCAATGTTAAAGGATTGGCTTTATCCTATGAAGAAATAAATTATCGAATATTTTCCCATTATAGGTAGGAGTGTAATCGGGCGATTAGGAAAAATATTACTGGTGGTAACATTCAAAAGAACAACATTAATCTTTAAACAATGGTTAGATGCGAATTGAATTGATTTCTAATTTTTTCATCGTTGTAAGAGGTATAGCTGCTCCACCCTGTCATCATTCAATCTGGACCACGGGCGGATCTACGGGGGGGGAGGGGAGGAGGAGGGGGGGCTTTCGGGCTGAAGCCCCCCAAAAATGGTAAAATGTAACCATATTTTACAGAAAAAAATACTTTATACTATCTCTTAAAGTATTCTTGTTGGTGTAATTACGTGTAATAGGACTTCAAGAACCACTTAAACACCATTTCATATAGATAATTAATTAATTTCTTTTTTTTCAAATTAATTATCGTTATATATATATATATATATATGAAAAAAAAAACTGTCGGGCTGAAGCCCCCCCAAAACTAAATCCTAGATCCGCTAGTGATCTGGACTACCTTGGCTGTCGCACATTTTACTCAGAGATTTGTCATGTGTTTACCTAAAGCTAGCAAGACCCAGCGATGGCTACAAGTTTAAATTTGTAATCTTGAAGCATAAAATAGTCTAAAAAGAGGTTTAATGAATTTTACTTTTAATTATTATTTTAAATTAATCTATTTTGAAGGTTGTGTTCTTCTAATAAAACCTATTAATTCTACCTCAGTTTTATTAATATTGAACTAATCGTTTGTGAACTACTGCGGCAGTGTTTGAATATAGTAAAAGTGTATAAGTGCTCTTTTCCAAGTGGTTATCATTGTGCTTATAACTAATTTTCTTTTACAGCATGACTCAAATTTTATTAAAAGTAATTAGTTTATTTATATTTCAGCTTATTATTATTTTTAATTTGTTTAAATATGTTGCTACTTTATAATGTTTATAGTCAGGAAATTTTCTTCATGAGTTGGCTGCTAGAAGTAATATATTTAGTGCTATTACAAGATCATGTAGTTCTTTAGTGACTTCAGCTAAGGTAACTACGCAATGATAAAAACAAAAAAAAAATGCATGTATAAGTTTTATGTTACCTCTTTATTAACTACTGCTTGGATTTAGGATATTTCTAAGGATGAACCAGATAAACTTTATAAAATGATTGAATTAGAAATGAGAGGACATGATCCTGCAGTTTTAAAAAGTTACTCATACTTTCTCACTACAGCTGCCAGACATCTTGATATTGAAGTTGGTAATTGGTGAGTTATAATTTTTATTAGCTTCTTTTATTAATTTAAAAAACTAGATAAATCTATTGGATAACTTTTGTTATGAATTTGCTGCTGCTTTTGATGTGCTTATAATATAATCTTACTTTTATTAGAATGAAATTTTTGGTTAACTGTTGCCTCCAACTCAATAGCATCTTAAAAATAAAATCAAGACACTATTTCTGTCGATTCAAACCGCACTAATGAGGGTTAATTGTATGCCTTCTCTGAACTGAAATTGACTATTGTGATTTTCTTATAGTTATTGATAAAGGCAAGCTATTGGTTTTTTACAAATTTAGGACATTCTTGTAGCTTTTGTGTCGTCATTCATCTACTCCCTATGTATACAGAATAAGAAACCATCATTGGTTTTCTTGTCTTAACTAAGGCTAATATGCAACTCCAGTTTTACCATACCATAACAAATTTCACTTTAGAATCTCTATTGATTAATTGGTTCAAGTTTTATGTTACCAGTTGGCAATATACAGTTGATAGTTTTACCTAAAAATATTTGATTTTGGGAAATATTTATTTTTTCTAGAAAGGTAATAAGGTCACTTCACTAGTATCACTTCATCACAATAGCTGGACTAAAATAACATCGATCACACTGTTGACACTATTATGAAAATGGCCAAGTATGTCAAAAGGTAGGGGGAAACCATTGATCCTGTTGGCATGGCCCAATCGTAACTGAGTAGCATCTGTCGGGGAGTTTGAACGAGTGGAAATTTAAAATTTTGATCTAATTAGGGTGGTTAAAAAAGCAGTAATCTAGACTACCATTTTGTTGTGTAGCATAACCATGTAGTTTTATCAATTATAATTTTAAATTTGTGGTAGTAATGTCTATGTTTTAGTTGATAAGATCATTTTCAGTTGGACACCTAAGAAAGCAGTACACGAGAGATTAACCGTTCTCAGATCTATTCATGTTAAAAAAAAGTATCGAGTTCAGTATGAGACTCGGACCTACTTTACATTCGCTCAGCTTCATAAATTGACTGGATCTACTGCTGATACATATTTAGAATATGTTCAGCGCAACCTTCCTGAAGGTGTATCGATGAAAGTTACTAAGGTAAGGAGTAAATTAAATAAGTAGGTTTTGTTTATTCAATATATAAGATACTTGTGTTTGTAAAATATTTACAATGTATTTGTGCAATTTATGCTGGAAAATAGATTAATTACATCTGCATCTCTTTGTAAAGTTGTGTACAATTTTCACGAGTTACAAAAGATCAATTTTTCTATATTGTAATTAGCTGTTTTATCCTGCCTTTACACATCTTGTAGGTCTTTCTTTTTCTTCTTCTTATTATGCCTCTTCTTCTTATTTCTCATTACGCCCTATTTGGAGACAACACCTCTTGCAGCTTTGGATCCGAGTCATCCCTGTTCCGCGGTGCCGTCTTCCATTTCAGGACCCCAAGCATGGATCAGGCATCTGTAGCAACACCATCTAACTTTGGTCTTCTTGTTGTTTAAATGAAGATTTCTTCAAAGAGAATATTTTGTGGGATCTTATCTTCAGGCATTATGATAACATGTCCAGCTTATCTGAGGCGACTTACCTTAATAAAGGTCACCACATCAGCATCACCAATTCGTTATTACTCTGCTGTCTCCAGACTCAATTCATGCATATTGCCCCTCAGATTCTTCTCAGGGTCCAACTGTAAAATCTTACCAGAGCCTGTTCTTGATTCTTGGTAATAGTCAAGCATTTTGCAGCATAAATCCATACCGGCCATACTTGATCTTGTAGGTCTTTGGCTGTATGAAACAGTCTTCTTCACTTCAACCTTTTTTTTTCTCCTTTCTCACCATTTCTTGCATAAGGAGTTTTGGGAGTAGTGTATTAATATGTTGTGTTATTTCCACTACTGCCAATATAACTCAGTATGGAATCAATTGTTTGGGTTTTACTTGTGGTGCAGCCTTTTTAGAATAGTTTATGGTGATTGATTGTGATTTCACCACCTTCTGGCTAGCTTTCCTCTTGTATGGCTGTTAACAGCCTAATTTACCTTATTAGTTGGTTGAGTAGCATTATTGCGGCTCTTAGTCTTTGTAAGTCCTTATCATACAAAGCCAGGGAGAAGGGATTGTCATAACCATGTTATGACAGAAAGATGGGACTAGTCATAGGTTTCGTATAACATGTTTTCATGTTATTAGATTATTAGCAACATGCTTAGTCCCCAACCTAGAGAGCTATGGTACAAAACACAAGGGATGCTCAACTCTCTGTGCCTCCCAGGGTGAGGGCATTATCTCGGAATCAAACCCATAAAGTAGTAGATTGAGTACTTGCGCCTGCACTTTCTATTGCTACTTAAATATTACTTAACTTTGATGCCTTCCATTTCTAAAACTCCTTTCTTTTCTCTGCCCAATATGAAAATTTCAATGTTTTTTTGATCCTTTTTAATTTTTCAGAGTAATTTGATTTTTTTCTTTTGAATTATTCGTTTGTTCTTCTAAGCAGAGTGTTGTGAGTTTTGAAGCCACAACACTCTTCTAAGCAGAGTGTTGTGAGTTTTGAAGCCACAACAAATGTGAGATTTTTTTTTTAAATTGCTGTTTAAATGCAATAATGCCCAATCTTGTTGTTCGTAATAGGTACAAAGTCTATGGATTTTAAAGAAAATTAAATACTCTATCCATTTGGTGTTATAAAAATTCTTAAATTGATTTGGAAATATCTTAATTTGAAATTGAAAATTCTAAATTTGGTTTGGAAAAATCTCAATTTGGTTCGAAAAGTTCTAAATTGGATTTGTATAAATTCCAATGTGGTTTGGAAAGTTCTAAATTTGATTTGAAACCATCTCAATTTGTTATGGAAAATTCTAAATTAGACTTGAAAATGCTGTATTGATTAATACTAGAGGCTTAGTTATGTTTTCCTAATTTAAAGTTGGCTATGTTTTTCTAGTTGCAGAGAAGTTATAATCAGTTTATCTTCTGTTGTTTAAAAGTATCTAATTTCCAGAAGCATCAATAGAGTATCATTGTACCTTAATTGGATATTGTGCTTTAAGATTTGATTATACTGTGTCATGCATTTGCCATAGCAATAAGAAAATGGTGAAAAGAATTAATTATTGTGTTTCATATCCTATGGATCTCATATTCATAAAATAAAAAATACATATCTAATTTCATAATATGTATTCTGCATACTATTCATAACTATATAATTTTAATTTTATACTTGTTTCAGATTGCTTTGGAACGTTTTCCAGAACATTTGAAGCCTCCAGTTAAAGAAGAAATAACAGCTGAGTAACTTCATGTATATAAAATTGTACTTATTGTGGATTTTTGTACCATATTGTAATTTATAGACATAAATAGATACCATTTTTCACTGTTCATTTCAATTAAATCTTTTTTTTTTTTGTTTTTTTTTTTCATTTTCTTCTTTTTTCCCCAGTGAACCAACAGAGTATTCATAATTCAAAATTTTAAGTATCATAATTTTAAATAGTATTAGTAAGATTGGTCAATATAGTGAGAATCAGTTTTAGAATTCATTACTTAAAGTCATGATTAAACGTATACTACAACAATTTAGCGATTCAATAATTTACTAATTTAAAGAGAAAAGAATGAAGTAATATATTTCAATTTTCAAGAGTTTTATTTTTAACAAAATCTCTTTACATAGTGCTCGGAGGATGTTTTGTGACGTTAGTTAATTAAATTCTTCTACAATTTGTTGTCTTTAAAATATACACGATATAGTTTAATGTTATTAATTCAGACTGTCTCTATCTTTCAAAATTGTTAATTTCTGGGTTTTTTTCATGTATCGTTTATTAATCTATTTTAATTCTTGAAGTTCATTAAGGTCATGTAAGTCAGTTAAACTTTATTTAAAACTTTCGACAAGTTCTTTATGGCATTTTTATTATCCTGATGAAATGAAATATTTATTTATTATTCTGGTACAAAGTCAATTTAGAAGATAATTAAAAGAGTAATATATAGTGTTCAAAACAGTGAGGCTGCACTTATAGAAACAGATATTTATACAGTAACTAAAACAGCAAAACTATATTAAACAAATAATAATAATAAATATTCAGTAAATAGCATAAGAATGTAACCTGGGAATACATATGAAATATAGGAGAAAGTGAGTTTGTATATAATAAAACTAATTTGATGGTTGAAGAGGAGAGATTTGAACAAGAAAGCTGTCGAAACATAGATTGTGATAAGCAGGGAGGCAGTTCAAGATAAGGTTTGTCATGTGTAGCAATTCGGAGAGGAGGGTAGAAGTAAGAAGGACTGGATGGATAAAAGATTTAAATAGCAGGTTCCGTAGTAGTATGTAGGGTGGGCTCTGAAAAAATACTGACACCCGTTAGATGGGTAGAGCCACTTTAGCTTGACATATTTATGGTGATCCCGAAAACAAGTCTTACAAAGCAATCCATAAACAATTTAAGTGTTGCTTCAAGTTCGCCAGAGAGTCCAGACAGCTGTAGGCAAAGTGAAGAATCACATGGGACAAAACTAGGAGTTGGCGGGTTTTCCATGGGCGAAGATAAAATAGGTGATTGAATTGTTTGAGAATTTAAATAGTTTGGCCAAAGGTGACTCCACGAATTTTAACTTAGGTATGGAAGAGTGAGGAGTGTTGTTGAGATACATTGTTTTCATGAAAAGGTTTGGTCGAAGGTGACTTCACAGTTTTTGATTGAGGTATGGAATGAGATAGGAGTGTTGTTTAGGGTAAGACAAGGTTGTCCTGGGACTGATCTGATCATGGTGGTTTTGGTGCTCTCGGCATTTAGAGTATGTTAATTATGGGACCCCCAAGCGCTTATTCTGTTGTCTTTCTGTAGTGTCATGATGGTATTAGAACACTAGCAGATCCAGGATTTAATTTTGGGGGGCTTCAGCCCGAAAGCTTATTTTTTCATAAAAATAACAATAATTACTTTGGTAAATAAGAAAGAAACTAACTACCTATATGAACTGGTGTTTAAGTGATTCCTAAAGCCCTTTTAAATGTAATTACATGAATAATTATACTTTAAGAGATAATTTTTAATATTTTTTTCGATAAAACATGGTTATATTTTACCATTGGGCTTCAGCCCGAAAGCCCCCCCTCCCCATGTAGATCCGCCCATGTATTTGTAGAATTAGCTGGGTCAAAGGAGATATGTTTATATATAAAAGGAGCGAAAATAGTAAGACAAGGAAGAACCTTGAGGTACACCTCCGGGCAGAGGTAGAGAACCTGAGAATGTTTTGTTGGATATAATTACATACTGAGAATGACCTGGGAGAAAGAAATGTTACCACTGAAAGGAACTAGATGACAGGGATTGATAGGGAACTACATTGTGAAATTTGGAAAGGATGATACTGTGGTCAACGTGAGCAAAGGCTTTGAAGAAGTAAAGGAGAATAAAGATATTAAGTTTCTGTATGGAGGTCTGAGTGGAAACCGGGCTGGAGGGGTTTACAGGGTTATTCTCTCCTGAAAAGTGGGATAGTCAAGATTGAATTAGTCACTCTTAAGGTTTGGAGAGATTTGAAGGAAGGAATATTAGATGGAAATCATTAAGAGTTAATGGGCTGGAACTGTTCTTACAGGGGCGAAGTAGTTGGATGAAGAAGTGGGATAGTCTAAGGATGTTTTGACACCTCTGTCATGCCCCAACAGAGGTGTAACCTGAGGAGGATAAGGAAGCATTTTATGAAGAACTTGGACGCGTGACAGAAAGCTGCCCCAAAAATGATGTTAAAATCATTCTTGGTGACTTTAACGCACAAGTTGGTAAGGAGGTGGCACTCATGCCGACCATAGGAACCCACAGCTTGCATGAGACCAGTAATGATAATGGGCTACGGATGGTGAACTTTGCTACATTGCACGGACTGGTTGTTGGAACAACTCTTTTTCCTCGAAAGAATATCCACAAAGCAACATGGATCTCTCCAAATGGGCAAACAACATCACAGATAGACCATGTACTCATTAGTGCCCGTCACAAGTCCAACATGATAAATGCAAGATCATATAGAGGTGCAAATATGGACACGGATCACTATTTGAGCATTGCCGAGGTCAGATCACGAATTTCGCTGATTAAAAACCACTACCAACGACCAAAGAAGAAGATTGATGTGGTTAAACTTAAGGACTCAGACCACCAATATTCGTATCAACAAGCTGTGGAGACGAAACTTAATGAAGAAGTAATTAATGACAGCTCTATGGTCGATGAACAGTGGAAGAGATGCAGCAACGCAATGAAACAGGCAGCAGAAGAAGCTCTTGGCTACGAGACTAAATCTAGAAGGCCCCCATGGTTTGATGCTGAGTGCCTTCAAGCAGTAAAAGTGAAAAATGAAGCCTACAGAAAGAAGGTTCAGCGTCCCACAAGGCTCTCCCTAGAAACATATAGAAGAAAAAGACGCGAAGAGAAGAGATTATTCCGCGGAAAGAGAAGAGCTTGGGAAAATAAGAACATGGAGGACACAGAGGCATTGCGAGGCCAAAATGAAAGTCGCCTGTTCTTTCAGAGAATAAACGAGGGTAGGGCAGCTTTTAGGCCCAGAGTGACGGCATGCAAAGACAGAAATGGAACTCTTTTAAGCCACAAAGATGACGTACTAAGGAGATGGGTACAACATTTCAAAGGCGCATTAAACAGAGGAACGGTGCCTGGAGAAGTAGGTGTAATGAAGGAAGACTCCCTGAATTCTATTGAACCCCCGGATGAGGAGGAAATGGAAAACGCCCTGAGGAAATTGAAAAATGAAAAGGCGCCAGGCCCGGACGGAATCCAGTCAGAGCTGTTGAAATGTGGAGGTGAAGAACTCAAGAAAGCTCTGCATGATTTAATGCTGACCATCTGGGAGAAGGAAGCTATGCCTACGGAATGGGCAACAGCCATTATCTGCCCAATACATAAGAAAGGAGATCAAACAGAATGCGCTAACTATCGAGGAATCTCACTCCTTTCGTGTGCTTATAAGCTGCTCTCTAACATTCTTTTTGAGAGGATCCTCCCGTATTCTGAAAAGGAACTGGGGAAATATCAGGCTGGATTTCGAAGAGGACGCTCAACGACTGATCAACTGTTCTCTCTGAGGATGATCCTAGAAAAGACTATGGAGCGTAAGGTAGTCACCCACCATTTATTCCTGGACTTTAAAGCAGCATACGACAGCGTTGATAGAACGCAACTATACTGTGCCTTGGAGGAGCTAAGCATCCCTCAGAAGCTCGTACGCCTAATCAAGATGACCATGGACAGCTCGAGATGCAGAATACGCGTCGGTTCTGACGACTCCGAAGAGTTTAAAGTGAGCAGTGGGGTTAGGCAAGGGGATGCCCTCGCCTGTCTATTGTTCAATTTGGCAGAGGAGAAAGCTGTAAGAGACTCCGGTATTCAGACCAAAGATATAATCTTCAATCGCTTGACACAGCTTCTTGGTTTTGCTGATGATATTGACATAATAGGTAGGTCTGAACGGGCTCTCAGAGAAGCCTATTTATAAGCCTTGAAGCAGCTGCAAGACCACTTGGTCTAGAAGTCAACGAGAGGAAAACTAAGTATATGAGAGTTGGCGGTGAGGTGGATCTGAACTCTCCATTTGAGGTAGGTTCTCTTAAGTTTGAGAGAGTGAAAAGTTTTATATACCTTGGGTCTGAAATTAATAGCAAGAATGACATGGCTCAAGAAATACAAAGAAGGATCACGGCTGCCAATAGATGTGTCTTTGGACTTGGCCGACACTTAAGAAGTAGGTACTTCTCAAAGAAGACCAAGCTGATCATATACAAGACCCTTGTTCGGCCTGTTTTGACATATGGCTCAGAGGCTTGGACGATGACTAAAAGGGATGAGATGAAGCTGAGTGTCTTTGAGCGAGGAGTCCTCAGAAGGATTTATGGTCCAGTAAAGGAGGGTGATGTCTGGAGGAAAAGAAAAAATAGGGAGCTCAGTTCTCTCTATGCAGACATCGACGTAGTCACGTATATTAAACTGGCCAGACTAAGGTGAGCAGGGCATGTGGCCAGAATGAGCACCCTGGAAATACCAAAAAAAATAATGATGGAGGAGCTGCACCTCGTAAGACGGGTAGGAAGGCCGAGGACGAGATGGTTGGACAACGTGGCCTATGATGCGAGAACCCTGCTTGGTGTGCGGAACTGGAGAGCTGCAGCAGAAGACAGAGCCAACTGGCGGAGGCTCTTGGAGGAGGCCCAGTCTCGGTAACGGGATGTTGTGCCATACATGAATGAATGAAGGATGTTTTAATTGTCCTGACATCTTGATAGCTAATAAACACCAAGGCTTTTATTATAAGAAAACAAGTTAAAAAAAAAACAGTAATATGAACACATAGCCTTTAATTAGAACACATAGTTTAA